ATGTTCATGTACTGCAATAGCAAATATGTATAATACATTTTTTTTTATTTATTTATTATTATTTGAAATAACCAATTAGTAATACATAATTATAATATACAAATCATATTTTGTTGGTTTATCTACCACTATTAAGCAGAGCTTAAGTTGGAGGTAGAGAGTTATTACGATAATTTAAATTAATTTATAATATCATTTGATATACAAATAAACTGTTCTTTGCTCGTGTTTTTCATAGCATAGGGATAAAGATCCATTAGAGTAAATGATTGATTGTGAATTTTAGAAAAACGATTTCTTAATGAAGATATGACTGAATCTAGAAGTGCATCCTCAAAATATTCCGTGCATCAAAATGTTCCTCGTTCAAAGTATCCCCGTTATAAATATCCTACGTTGAAAATATTCCTGTTACAAATATCCCAATTAAAAATATCCTATAAACAAAAGTAGTATTATCCCTTAATTCATAATTATATTTTTTTATTTTTTAAAAAACATTTTATAAATTTTAATTACACTTTTATTGTTTTTGGCAATGTATTTTTCGACTTGCCGTACTATATTAAAATTAACATAATTTTTAAATTAAATATACATAAAAAAAGATTTTTTTTTTAAATGAAAAATTACACGCGATGTCTTTTAAATATTTTAGTACAGTAGCATGTTCATAATTAAGAACCACTTCTTTTAATTGTCTGTCAAACTTCTCGTAAATGTTCTTTTTTTTAACGGGTAGTTCATCAGACATGTATTTTTCAATTTTTTCTTCTTAGCAAAGGCTAAATAATCGTAATATCGTAATGTAATATAATTTTAATAATATAACTTAAATGAAAATAAAAAATATATAACTGTTCATATAATTGTATATTTTATTTACCTTGCTCTAATTGGAGATACTTGATAAATATCTATATCGATGATTCTTAACTATGAACATGTTACTGAAATTAACTATTTAAAAGGTATTGCGTGTAATTTTTATATATATTATTATGAATTAAGGGATAATATTAGTGGAGATATTTTGTATATATGATATTTTTAATTGGGATATTTGTAACAGGGATATTTTGAGTGGGAACCGAATCTAGATAAGGAACGAATATTGATATTCTGAAAAAAACTCTTCATGGTTTGTAGACAGATGATTCGCTTTGAATTTGTTGAGCAGAACTCGAGGGGGGCGTATTTCAACATCAAGTTCTTCGGCGATTTTTTTAGTTTTTGTAAATATTACGGTAAATTCAGTCGATGAATTGTTTCTATGCAACTGCAGAATATCAACTAGTTTAGTTATGTGATTGTTCACCGTTTTTAAATTTATATTAAACTGTTGAATTTGATTACATACTGGTTCAAATTTAACGGAATAAACAGCTATTACTTGCAGTGTAACAATAAAACCTGGTGTAGTAGCAGCCGTAAAGAGTTGATAGGATTTAATTTTGGTCTTTGAATTTGCTGTACTTTTTGATAGTTCTTCCAAAGTTTTAACGATCACAAAAAAATTGTCAGCTAAAATTCTAATACTTTTATATTTCGCTGGCCAACGTGTTTCACAGAGTAGAGGAATATTGGGTATAGTTTTTATGCGCAATGTGCTATCTCTAAAGAATTTTATCATTTCTTTTATGATACCGATTGTATTTCTTACTTCACTGACGTTATACAAATCATTAAATACAAGATTCAATATGTGACTGGCACAATGGAAGTATAGTGCCATAAGATAAGCTCCATTAATTAATTTTTAAACGCCACTTATATGTCCAGCCATTGTAACGCACCTATTATATCCTTGGCCCACAAGTCGATTCAGATCTAAATTAAAACTTTCTAAAAATGCTATAATTGTTTTTGCAATAGATTTAGAATCTAATTTTGAAAGAGGCGAGTAACCAAGAAATTCTTCACAAATGTTGTGTCTTTGAAACTTAATGTCATAAAGCAGATACCGAACACCAATTGATAATTGTTCGGTGTCACTTATATCGGTGGTTTCGTCAGTTAAGATCGAAAAAACTGATGAACGATTTACTTCTTCAATAATGTTTTGTCGAAGTACATAAGCACAAGTTTGAATCAATTCAAATTCAATTAATGGACACCTTCAAATCTAATTACTATCATAATCACACCTATTAAAAAATTTATTAAGGTGGATACTAGATTTCTCCTACTATAGACATTTAGTATCTCTATTCCCTACGATAAGCACTCTCCTAATTCTTGATTATAAATAGTATTTACATAATCAATGGTTCCAATATTATTTGACTAAAACCGAAGAACTATTAATAACTTTATTGTTTAGTGTATCACGGGCGAATAATATTATTGTAGTAACGTGTAAAGACGCAGATGCCACCGCCCGACACGACTATAGCCATCTTTACATCACATTCAATTTTGGCACCACATAATAATGCAGATAGTGGAAAATCTACAGTATTTTTAATCAATGATATAACGTATAGCTATTTGAAAAATTGACAGAATTATGGCCAAAAAAACGATTCTGAGCGGTGTTCAAAATACTATATAAAAATATTATTTAAATAAATAAATAAACAAATGTAATACTTAAGTAGCTTAAAACGTTTAGATTTACACATGAGTATTTCGAGGTTAGGGTAGTTAGTATTTTGGTAATTAGATTGTAAGTCAAGTACATCATGAATTATAATATGTATGTATAAATAAAAGGTACACTTAAAACTGGAGACATATAATGTAATCAAAATATTAACGACTTTTTATTTTATTATTCGAATCATAAGTGTTATTTAAAACCATGAATAACATTTTCCCGATGTATTTATGAATTACCTACAGTAAATGTATTAAACATATTAAAGTTACAATGAATATAATTATATGTTCTTATGTGTAAAGATTTTTTAACAATCCAATTTCAAGCATCAAACAAACAAATTAATATTGTAAACTATAAAAATATCAAGTTTTTCCAATTTTAACGGAAACAATTTATTTTGTTTACCTTTATATAATGTAAACAATTCGATGTTATTCACATTTGCCTCTTTCTTATTTTTTTCTATTCAAGGAAATAAAAATATGGTATAAACACAATAATATCTTGGTGAATATTTGAACCAACTTCACAAAAATATAAAAAATATAACCCTTTATCGCGTTGCGATATTGGTACAAGCGTTTAACAAAACGCCTGTTATTTGTTTATAGGTAACATAAACTTAAACTCCCGACGTTTTTATTTTTATCACGATCTACCCAACAATATATAGTTTGAATTTGACTAAAAATAAAATATGTATTATGTATTAATAAGTTCTTGAATGTTATTTAACGGTACTTGATGAACATTTGGAGTAAAATAAAAGGGAAGTAGGGATTGAGCTTCCTGTGCAGCTGGGAAATGCATTAGCGCCGTATTGATTAAATTATTTATTTTTTTTTTCGGAGCGCCTGACACTTTTCTTCGAGCCGACAGGCAGCGCTTTCATAAATGTGAAGTACCAGTAGTGTACGGATTGTTACACACAATTCCTTTTTACTTTATACTTTTTTTTTCGTTATTATGATCATATTTTTGGCAAAGTTTCAGCGTCCAGCATTCCATTTTTGTGACAGTTCATTTAAAACCACAGTAATATACGTTTTCATGTGTCGTCGTTGTATTTTATAGTTTAAATAATTGCACTATTTACAATAACTTACACATTTTTTTTATCAGAAAAATGTAGTTTTAATTATATTATATAAACAATTGCGTTTATGACTATCAACTGCAATTATAATCAAAAAGGTAAGTGGAATTTTGTAACATATGATTTATGATTTGATATGCACAAAAAGACTCCATATTGGTTTAGTTTATTATATTAACTCAAATACAACTGTGCGTTGTGAAAGTGACAATTTTCTCTTGTTTAAACAATTGGTTTATTTTATTTTGTTAGTTTTTAATAAGTGCTTTTATTGACACCAGTGAATTGTAAATAAATATTGTAAATATTTTTTATACATAAATTTCTTAAAATATTTAAAATTCACTGGTACAATAAAAGCACTTATTAAAAACTAAGAAAATAAAATATACCAATTTTTTAAAAAAGAACGTTGAAGTTTAAAAAATAATTTCAAGTAAATCATATAATAGCAAATAATATATAGTTAACAACTTATAATACATAGAACGCACAAAATAAAAAATTATAATAAATAAATATAAATACAAGCTTTTAAATATCGTTCAAGTGTTGGAATATCCTTTAATTAGATCATTATTATAATTAATATTATTATTTTAACAGTATATTTATAAAATATATTAACAATCATAACTCATAGCTCGTTATAAACTATTGTTGTGGATTTGATGTCGATTAAATTATTATTATTAAGTTTGAAACAATTATTAATTTGTTTAAACATGAAAGGTTATTACAAAGAATGCAAACAAACAGTAGGTACTTGCCAAAATTGTTATTGTATTTATAGAAATAATATTATTTACGAAACGTATAATATTGCGAGTAAAATAATATGCACTTAGTACCTACACTTTTTATCTTTTATTCTTGTTTGTTTCCAATGAGTTATGTATTTTTATGTGTATAACACATCTTTAATCTTTATTCAAAATAAATTGATCTAATTATACTAACATATATACTACTAATGAATCATATTTTAAATGAAATTTATGAATGATAGTTTGATAATATTAATATAAATATTTGCAGTTCTGAATCTAAGGGGGGGGGGGGGGGTAGGAATATATATGCTTGTCTCAGACACTTTTAAGTTAAAGAAAAATAAAATAAATCAGGAACATACCCAGTATTTACAATTACATAAATACGCTTTATTTTTATTAGTCCCGGGCATCAAATTTCCTAGATAGGGCACTGAATATTAGTACTTATAAATTTCAATAAATAACCAAGCGCTGTTTACAAAATATTTCACGTGTTCGTGTAATAAGTGCCGTAAAATCAAATCACACAGTACCGCTATGTATTTTTATTAACTGTTTAATTATTTTTTTTCTAATTTGCATTAACGTTTAAATTGTTGTTTTTCAGAAATTATGATCATCGGAAGCATTATTTTAGCGGCATTTGCTTTTTCTTCTTCAATGTCGATAGCAATTAAAACATGCGATCGGAAACCAGTCGGATTTTTAACGCCGAAAAGTACAAACCCACATCCCTTTAGGGTTGTTTTCAAAGGAAATTCGGAATTCTACACTCCAGGAATGACATACACAAGTAATTGAAAATAATTATCGTATATAAATATATATTATTATATACAGAAAATAAGTGTGTTTTTTGTTGTTATCAAATGTTTTTGGAAAGGTTTATTTGAATAAAGATTTTTAGTATGAGATTGATTTAATATTGCAAATGTATTTATTCCTAACTCAAACAGCTAAGAATGTGAAATTGTATTTTAATGTATTGCAACTGTTAAAAGTTAAGCACTTTGTTAAATTATAAATATTATTAGTTACAATATATAAAAAATTAAAACGAAGAGTATACCTAACTAATCGGTGATTTTATCTGTTGATACATTTTATTTAAAATGTAATATGAAATTTTTAGATACCTATACATAAAATTAATATATACGTTTACATAATCGTTTACATCCTTTCATCTTTATCTTAAATATAATGTTAAAGTGTAAATATAAAAACGTGAAAATTGTTCTAGGAAAATAAATGAATAAAAATACATAAATCAATGGACGTGATTTTTTTTTTCAAATTTTAGGAATTATTTTTACAATTTACATTGATTTTAGAATATACGGATTCGCTATGACTATTGTTAAAGTAGGTAGCGTCTACATAGACGCAGTCACTAGACGTTGCAGTAATCATTTGCATTCAGCTTAATAAAACAAATTTTCGAAAAATAAAACATTTTTTTTTTTTTATTGTTAAAACTTCTCTTTCTTCCGTTCCCATTGTTGATGACCTATTTTTATCAAATTTAATATAAACAATTATAGTGTAGGCCCTATAAATTTTAACAATATGATAGCATTTCTGTATATTTAATTTCAATGATATCAACAGTTTACAATAATGCATATTATTGTATTTGTAAAGTCTATTAAAAGAAAGAAATTTACGTTTTTAAATACTTACCGTGTAATATTATAAACTAAAATAAATAATTATAAAAAAATCTTAGCAGACAAATCATTTTACCTACCCATTTAAAACCTTATGATATTATATTTAAACGTTTGGTGATTTCATTTTTTAATCTTTATATTACATTATTATCTATCCAGTTAGTTCCTTTTTAATGTTAGATATTTGTAAATTGTTGAATGGCAGTTTCATATAAAACATCGATTCCAAAAAGAAAATAAATGTTTTAAAACTATTTATTTAGTAAATATAATAGAATATCGTAATAGTTTTAAATGCAAAAATAATCTATTTGTAACTAAAATATACATTTTATTATTATTTATTCGTTTCGTGTATACATCTATAAAGCTATACTAGCTGCTACAACTTTTAATAATTAGTAATATTATAAATTAACTATGTATATAAAATATTAAAATTAATTTAAATATCTATACTACAGATAAATGCACCTAATTGTTTTGAATTATTTTGTACATAATTTTAATAAAATGTATTATATTTATATTGGTTGGATTTAGTTTTATTGCAAGGCATCAAGACTATTTCAACAATAACACCTAGCTTTAGTAGTTTTATACTGATGGTCGAAGCCGAAGAGAACCAGAATTATGATGAGGAAAACCATGACATGATTACTGGAAAATTTCAACTGACCGGTGACGTGAGAACAAAAATTAGCGAAATCTGTCCAAATACTGTCACTCAGACTTCTTTAATCCCAAAATCGGAAATACAAGTTTTCTGGACAGCACCAGCATCCGGCAGTGGATGTGTTATATTCAAGTTAGTTTGACCTATTTATCTTATTTAATTTATAATTGTTTTTCTGTATTATCAATGTAATCTAATCTAAACCACATAAATCTTTGTATATGTATATATACGTATAATATTTTGGATAAATTAGAGCTACCATTGTAGAATATCGGGATATTTGGTATATGGATGATGATCAATTGAATAAAAAAATTTGCGAAGAAAGTAATGAGAGCAACGACGAAAACGCTAATGTCGTTTACGAATGTTGTGCATGTCACGAAGCAAAGTTTGAGGTTCGTATTTAAAAAATTATCTATAAATCAAATCATTAACAATACAGTTATGTATTAGGTAAATAAAATTATTTTATGAATTTTTAAATCACCAAAAATATAACAAATTATGTTAATTTAAATTGAAATGTTTAAGTTAACGTTTGAGGGGTTGTGGTCAAGGCATACTCACCCAAAAGATTATCCGGATGACAATTGGCAAACACGATTCAGTGATGTTATTGGAGCATCACATACTATTGACTATCGGTAAAAATTCGATTAATATATTCAATTATTGATAAAAATAAACATATCTTAATGATTTTTTAGATTTTGGGAACCAGATCAAGTATCTTCAGAAGGCATGAATACCATAGCGCAGAGTGGTATTACTTCGACTTTGGAATCTGAACTTAAATCAAAAGTAATGAAAAAAAAACATTAATTAAATTTTTTTAAATTATTATTTACATTACACAATATTTTGAATTAGAGTGATAAAATTCGTACAATTATTAAAGCTAGAGGTATTAGTTATCCGAATGTGACTGGAAAGACTTTTGCTGTATTTCGAGTAGATCAAGAACATCATTTGATTTCGGTCATATCATTTATGCGTAAGTAACTGAATACTATAAATATTTTTAACTTATATAATTCAGTTGTTAATGTATTAATATTATTTAATAAAAAAAATTAGATCCATCGCCAGACTGGTTTGTTGGAATTTCGGGTTTGGAGCTGTGTTTGCCGAATTGTAATTGGATTACAAATAAAACAATCAATTTGTACCCATGGGATGCTGGAATCGATAGTGGAGTCACGTATAATGTATGTTGTACTCAGTGGCGCAACCAGGATTGGTTTTCGGAGAGGGGGGGGAATTCGTAAAAAATAAGCATTTTCTGCAGGTGTTTGGTGGGGGTAAGGAAGTAAGATTAAGTTAGTTTTATGAGTTAAATATTTAAATTAAAAATTAAACTGTTTAATTTCTATTTCATATTGTAATATCACAAAAAAAGTATTATAGAATCGACTGTCGAGAAATCGTAGTAGCATGGCTATTGATATTTTAAAGTTGAACGGAACGTTACAAAACGTTCCATATCGTCATGTTAATATTGTTATCAATTATAATACGAATAATATTCATATTTCATATCAAGCAGCCGTTTCTCGTGTTCAATATATACCATTGTTTTCCTAGGTAGAATTTGTAAAAATCTCAGAACAATTGGGGGGGGGGGTTACCCCCCCAAACCCACCCCTAGTTGCGCTACTGGTTATACTAGTAATATAATCAACTATAATTTATAGTATAATAGTTTTAATTTGGGCAGGGCCGACATTAACTCATTCAGCGCTCAATGTAAGAATTATTTTGGCAATCCTCCATCTTAAACGACTTAAACATATAACTTAAACCGGTAGAATTTCGGGAGCTGGAAGGGTATTATACATATTATAACTTAAGTCTCATTCATAATTAAAAATTTTCAAAATAATTTTCAAACGTGCGTATTTGTCTCATATTTGTGAATCATTTATAGAACAAACATAATAATACTTTTAACAATATAGTGATACTTTATAAAACTTTAATTGTACCTACAAACGCCGCCAATCATCACATGCCGATAGAATAATAAATAATGATAATTATAATAATAATCAAATTTATATTGAATCAAATCGTGAATTTATTTTTCTATCTATAGTAGATAATTTACTTCGCCAACTGAAAATCAATTGATCAAATTTAATTCTAATTTTAACGCCTCTCACGTGCCCTTTTGATTTTGGCGCCCTGTACCGTTGCATGCGTCGATCGTACTTAAAGCCGGTGCTCAGTTTTGGTAAAAATTATTCTGATATTTATTACCGATATTGACATTAGAGTTTTTATAATATAACCTTATCAACACAGTGTTTAGGTACTTAGTATTTTTAAAACTTTTACTTAATTTTTACTCAACAAATTAGACATTTGAGACCTGAAGTTTTTATAGCGTCTCATTTTCAATTTGAGACAACTTATTGTAGTTATAAATCAGTTAAAAATGTAATTAGAATTTTTTGTTTGTACAGTTAAAAAGTCTTTGTTGCTTATATACTTGCAATTTTTATTTTATAAATGCTTTATTATTTATTTTTTTAAATTATTTGGTAATTGTATTATATGCTTTTTATAACTTTATTTTTTACATCTTATATACATTTTAAAAATGAATATAATTTATTTTTTAGTTGATAAATATTTATATGATAATTAATAACGTACACATATTTTTTTTTTATCGTGATTCTAGTCAACTGACATGCCACAAGTACCAAGAATGACTATAAAGAGAGTTTTAGTAGCGAATGCCAATGACGCACACTCGCCGTTTTACGATCCAACAGGTGCACTAATGAAACCTATTGCAAAACTTCATTTAATGAGACAGCGTCTTTACGAAAAAAGCTGTATTGAAGAAGAATCTAAGACAGAATCATCAAGTGTGTTATATTTTATTTCAACCATACATCTCAATCAATTTCAATAATTTAAATATTCTGTAAACTATTAGTCTGTGAAACTAGTGCATGGTCAGATTGGGATGAGTGTTCAGCAACTTGTGGCAAAGGTTTTAGTAATAGATACAGGCAGTATAAAAATCCTGAAGACAACCATAAACCTTACTGTAGTAAACGGTCTATGATACAACGCAAAGGATGTTATGTGCTTCCTTCTTGTTTGTAAGTTTTTTATTTATATACCTGCGATATGAATTATTTAATAAATTGTTATGCGTTTTAAATACAAATATGAACATAGGTTACTTAAGGACTATACAATTATTATACGAGTACAATAATATTAAATTCGTGTTAAAATTGAATATGTAAAAAGTAAAAGTAAAAATTCAGTTATAAAATATTTATTGATAAATAAAAGTAATTAGTTTTTCTTTTTTTATATATAATGCTAAATTTATAAGTAAATATATATAAAAAAAAAAAAAAAATTAGTTCTGTTAATATTATTATAAAACGGGCACAAGGCCCAAAAGTGCAAATACATTTTACATATATTAAATTAACCAATATATGACAACATAAAATAATAAAAATATCAGTTGATATAACTTAAATATTTAAATAATTCATGTGTAGTGATAAGAATGAGTTAAGGATATCAAGTATATTAATAAATTGTTACCATTTGAAATATCGACGATTTACTATAAAACTTTTTAACAATTTAAGGTTTTGAAAAATGTCATGTAATTTTTTTAGAATCGAGAATGAGGAAACAGATATGATCGATCCAAAATGTGATGTAACTGATTTTGGACAATGGTCGGATTGTTCTGCTGAGTGTGGACCCGGTGTATCGGCACGATTTCGAACAATATTAAATGAAGACGTTTCACCAAAACATTGTTTGAGTAGAATGAACTTGCAGCAAACTGTTAAATGTGAAACAAAAACTTGTCCAGACGATCACGATAATACGGTTAGGAAAGATAATTTAAACAACTATTGAGTTATTCAAAATAAATATAAAACACATAATATTAAACACAAATTTTGTGTCATCTGTGAAATCACAGGATTTAGATGTAATATGTAGTAATTGTTCGTTAACCCATTGGTCGTTCTGGTCACCTTGTAATACGAAATGCGGATTTGGACAAAGAGAGAGACATAGGTTTAATCTAAACAGAACGGCCATGGTAGAAGAATGCGACATTCGTTGTTACACACAGACAATAAATTGCACCGATAATCCACCGTGTGAAAACAACATGCAAATGGGTAAGATGATCTTAATATTATAATTAATCATGCACTTTTAAAATGTTCAACTAAAAATATTTTATGATTATTTTCCATGCTGCATATTAGAGGATATTCTATTGTTTGGAAATAATTTTATGTTAAAGAAATATAATGTTACCGTACAACGTTCTCTTATTAATAATGTTAACGAAAAGCAAATGCTTTGCAATAAAACCGACACTAACAGTATGTTTAAGTGTAATGTGCTATTGATTATAGTAGCTATTGCTGTATTATAACTATACATTTTATGCAAAGTCGTTTTTTCTCATTTAGAAACAACCACTGCATCCAGTTCTGAAAATACATCAATAACACCGGTTACCATAAATCCAGATGATGTAAGTGTATAAGTATTGTAATAAATGTTCATATTATCAAATTATGTGAGAATTTATTTTTAGTAAGACATGGATTGTAAATGATAATTTATTTTAAGAAACATATTCTGGTACCGAATAAAAGTGATTCCAGATATTATATTATACATATAATTTTAAAACAAATAAGTTCAATTCGTGACTTTTATATTTTTTCCACGTTAGATAAGAAAACATTTTTCTATTCAAAAATTATAATTTAATAACTATAACATAAAATGTAAAAAAAATAATTTGTTTAAACCAATAATAAATATTATTCTAAATAATCTTTATATTTGTTTTAAAAGTAATTTTATCATTTATGTAATTATGATATAATAATAACAATAAATCATTTTTATTACGAAATCAGATTTTATATTATAATACCTAATATGACATAGAGTTACGAAGTCTAATTTTTTTTTTTAGTTTATTTGCAAAAGATAGGCATATCATGTATGCAGTAGAAAAAGATATAGGATAAAAAGTTTTTGTTTTTATAGCTGACATTATTATTAAAAAATGTAAGCGTTTAATAAGTTCAGGAAAATCGATAAAATTCGTGGAGTAATTTAAATAAATATCCCGGGTACTTATATAGTTATTTTAGTTATATTTATACACACAATTATTTTATGAACAAATTAATTTTACTATTTTTATCATAACAAATTTTAAGTTTTTACTTTTTATTGGCAATGTATATTTTTAATTTCATAACATTTAATAATAAATTAAATAAAACATTTTATAAAACATAAAATAAATATGAAAATCAAAATTATTTTACTTATAACATTTTTTCGGCTTCTATTCCTATAGCTCCTAAATAACGCGCTTCCTTCATTTTTATATTCTCCTCACATAAATTACATAAAATTGCTTCGCCGGAGTCCGTTTCCATACAATATAATATTTGTAAAACATTTACTTAAAATTAATAATTTAATTTAATTTTTAGGAATAAATATAATATTAGTATATAGAAATTAAAGTTTTTTTTTTTAATTTTTGCTATATGGATATCCAAATGATGGAACAAGTTCCGTCGATGAAGGTATAGGTGTCCATTTCACGAAATATTATCCATATTGTGTAATTACATGAAGTGAAGAAATCGTGGTTCCATTTCGCGAAATGAATGCAAAGGTTGTCCATTTCGCGAAATGTACAATAACGCGATATGGATGCGATATATACATATAACTATTAACTGAAACATTACATTTTCACTTTTCCACTTAATCTCAATAAAAAATCCTTTATATGCATAGGCGTAAACTGGAGAGAGCCAAAGAGGAGTGCAATTGCCCCCTAGAATAAATCAGAAAGGACAGTGCCCTCTCTAATATTAAACATATATTGTTTTAAAACAAGTATAAAACAGCTGGTTATAGCTATTACTTTATAATTTTTATTTTAATTCTTAATTTTCAATTTTCGATTATCTAACATCATGTTAGAAAATTAATAATTTTATATAATAATATGTAGGTAGTAAAGCGGTGTTTAGCCGCAGACAGGGTTGAACTAGGCCACTGGGACAACGGGGCATGCCCCGGTGAGGAGCCACTGTAATTTTGGTTAAATAAGATTACTTACATTTTTTGTTAATGCGTCTATCCTCTATCCTTATAATAAAATAAATATATCGCCCTGTAAAGTAGAACTAATGGATGCGTTTTAGTTTACAAATTATTACAACATATTTAATGTCACGATAGACCGATTGATAACAATGATTTCATCACAATATTTATAAATAGAACAACCATAGAAAATTTGAACACAAACTATATGTACAAATGTTATTCATACGACGTACCGTTCGCGCATTGACCTATTATATAATGGACCACGCATAACGATTGATTGTCATGTAAATCAATGAAGTAAACATCTGTGCGATAGAGACAGAGCTAGTATGGGAAAACCAAAGGCGTTATAAGCAGTTTTAGGTCTTTAGAATATATTATTGTGTGATAGTATTTTACTTATTTTTATTGGTATTTAATTTATATTTTTTTCTAAATTCACAATTATAATTTGTTGTAAAACTGACAGAAAAACATTACAAATTCATATAATATTTAATGAATAAATAACCAACTATTTAATTTAATTTAAGATTATTTTTTAGTCTTATTAGTTCATAATATTCACTAATTATTCATTATTCAACAACCAGCACGGACTATCATAGTCAGTAATCAGTATTCATAAATATGATAACAATATTCCAAGGAGTAAAGTACCTATAATCTCTATGATTTTCCCATACTAGCTTTATCTTTCTTGCACAAATGTTGACACGGGTCCTCTCTCTCTAAAAGCAGTACATTATATATTAGGTCTATACGTTCGCGTTTGTTTAAACAATATTTAACCAAAAGAAAATTTTGGTATGGGTAGAAACTATCGTGCAAGATATGCGATAACGAAATTGTTTTTTGATAATAATAATTTTTATAAGATTTATTAGACTTTTATTTGAAAACATTACAATAGTTTTGACGTTCAGTCAATAATAAGTCTGTACCATAGGTGTGCGCAGACCTCTATTTCAGGGTATGCAAAAGGCTACCACAGCCTATCCCCCTCCTGAAAGTTAATTTAATAGTTAAATAAGTTAATTTAAGCGTTCAAAATTCTGATCTTAATAACTATTTAATTTTAAATTTTAATTTTTTTTCCCCGAAAAAAGTGACTGAATAGCCATTTCTTAATCGTTATAACTGTCTTCATAATTAAAATTTAAAATAAATTACGAAAAAAAAAATTAAATACATAACCCTTGAAATGGTTTAAGTAGTATATTTAAATAGGGTAAATAAATAAAAACGTAATTATATAAAAAATTATTATGAAAAATAAAATAAATTTAATAAATAATTAAAATTAATCATAAACAGTGCTTGATTTGGCAAAAATAAAGAAGGGGGACTCTGTTTAGTTTAAAAAAAATAGCGTCCCCAAGACTCGTTAAGCGTTATATTTATAACGTAATAATAGTAGGGGGACGCTAAAATTTCTGAAAATTAGTTGGGATACTCTGTTCCCCTGCGTCCCCTCACAAGTTAAGCACTGATCATAAAACGATTCTGTGTACAGTTGAGTTTTTAATATCACCAATGTTTTCGGGACTTTAATTTATAGCCATTTATTGTTCTGTAATTGATAGTTATTTAATCTCGCTTGAATTATTGTACTTCTTAATTTCATTAACGCATTAAATCGTTATTATAGCATATTATTTCTGTTTCAAAAATAAATTAATCTGTCTGGGACTGAATATAAAAATATAATAAAAGTCATAATGTAATACAAAATCACATAGTATACATAAGACCAAATATGTAATCATTTTTATTTATTTTATGTAATTTTGGAAAGAAGACTCTATGTTTAGGGTATGCAGTTGCATACCCTGCATACCCACAGCTCACGACTATAGTCTGAATCTAGTTTCTAACCTTTCTGTCGACTTCAAGTCAATTATTACCGATAAGCAATTATTTTATTAAAAACAATATGTTCTAACTTAGTGGTCGGAAACTTTTATGGACCCTTGGGCCACATTCTCAAATTAAAAATGGTTCTAGGGCCAGACAATACAAAAAATTTATATATAATGACATTTGCTAGTTTTGACAATTACTGCGGGCCATATAAAAGCGGCGTTAGTTGCTGTCCATTGTTCTAACTCAATTAAAATTAAATGTATAAACATATTTAAATTAAATCATTTTTTATGCTGTAAAATTAATCTTAATAAGTTGGTCATTATATCAATATTATAGATAAGATATATTATGCGTAAACTATATTAATTTAAGGTATAACATTAAATCTAAAAATATTCAAATGTACTTGTGTTTATATTGTTTTTTGAGTTACGAAGATACATTTTCAGTTAAACAATAATTTGATTAGGTACCTACTTATAAAGTTCCATTGAGGCAGTTCGAAATTATTTTGTCCGGGTCGAACTAGTCCAACCCTTGCCACGGACACCCTTTTCGTTAGATATGTAATTATATATTTGCCCCCCCCTCTAATAAATTTTCAAGTTACGCCCATGTTTATATGTATGTTTATGTATAGTAAAAATAAATAATGAATATAATAAATATATTAATTCACTCATTCTTCATTATTCTCTTTTATTTTTGTGCTCTAGAATCTAGATGAACAAGAATTGCTCTAAATAATTGAAACATCATGGAGCACAAAAATAAAATAGAATAATAAAGAATGAGTGAATTAATATAATTATTATATTCATTATTTATTTTTACTATCTAGATTCTAAATAATATCTATAACCATTTAAATTGTTTTAATTTTTTAGGTTTCGGAAGATTCGACAGAGAAATGTTTGTTGTCGAACTGGAGTAAATTTTCAGCTTGCAATGCTATTTGTGGTCTTGGTTCTAAAGAGCGTACACGAACCATACTTGTAATTATAATTTTTCTGCCACTAGTCTTATAATTTAATGGATAGCTATATAAATAAAAACTGGTAATATTTCAAATATTTCAGTCTCCCACAGATCCAATGGAACAAAAGAAATGCAGGAAAAAACTAGTCGACCGCAGAAACTGTCGAGGAAGACAATGTGGTAGTATGTACATACATTCAAACTTAACATAAAAATTATGTGTATTTCCATTGAATTCATTAAAGATGTTTATCTCTTTGTTAACACACTAATATTCTATAATCTATTAATTGATCCATAGATACTAGCGTACAGTTTAATACTTATTTAAATATTAAATTTGATTCTTATTAATTTAACTTCAATAAGTATGAAATTTATTTTTGATAATAAGTTAAGATCTTAAGAAAACTATCAAACTATTATAAGTAAAACTACATAAATTACGTTTTGTGAACACTGTACATATCTTCGACTATAAATTGAAGTTAAATTGTTCTAAAATAAAAATAAAATTATCAGCATAAAGATACAGTCAGAGTAAAGTTAACCAATTAAATAAATTCAAACACATTTATAATACTCATTTATATTTTTTTTTTTTTTATTGGAAAATTTGTAATACTATTAGTTTCGAAGATTAGTTTAAGTGATTTAACATGAAGAATATCTATATAAATTTAGTACATGGATACCGTAGTTATAAAAAGCTTAAACATAATGAAGAGAAAACAAACAATAACAATAATAATAATGTTAATAAAAGTGGTTGTAAATAAAAAGTATTTTAAATTTGAATTGAAGTAATAACTGGTATTATTTGTGAGGGGAGAATAGACTGGGCATTAAAAGAGACATAAGAGTTATTAAGGTAAAGAGGATATTACGTTGTAGAGTTTCATATACACATATTAAATTCGATGTTTTTAGAGGTATTTCTGTATTTATTGACAAATTTTTATATTTTAGGAAGAGAAGCAATATACTCATATACAGTAGAGTTTAAGTATGAAATTTCTAAGTTGGATAAAGTTTAAAATGTTAATTAATTTATAGAATTATTAATTACTTTATGGTGTTAGATAATTGTTAGTTGTCATAACTTCATCAGTCATTAGTAATGACTCAATGCTCAAATTACACATAACTATAAAATATACTCGATAGACTGCTAATATAAGATAATATAATACACTACTACTGTACATGCTAAATGATTCTCTATTCCTATATGTTTTTTGGTTGGTCTTAAATATGTTTAAATATTTTTTACGAAAGTTACAACCGTTTTCTGCCATGTAAGTCATAATAATATTGGTACCTATTAATTAGAACTGTTCAGATATTGAGTTTTATTTGAGCTTATAAGTAATCATCTTTAATATACTGTTCTTTCAGTAGTATATTATTTTTAATTAATTTAACGTATATAATATTTATTTTTGTGTGTAGCATAACTCGTTTTATTGGATAAGAAAGTAAGCATAAATATATTATATAAATATGATGTACAGTATAACTATTTTAAAATAACAATTTTTTTATACTTCTTAAAACTGTATAGTATTCATTATTGATGCGTGTTTTTTTAAGAATAAAGTTTAAACGTTTAACCTTTTTTTCTAATTGATCACCTACCAATTGAAAACATCGTGAAGTAATACTTCAAATGGTGGGTTACCATAATTTATTAGTAAGAATAACATACAAAAACTATCACCTTTACGAGTAGGTTGTAGGAGGGACATCTCCCTCCCACAACCCATCACAATATAATTATACATATTTTATTCATTTTATTAATTTTAATTTACATTAAGAAAAAAGATATAAAGAATATATTTATAATGTAATCCTTTAGAGGATAAATGTTTAGGCCTAAACAATTAAAACTCATAGTTGAGTTGAAAACCTGTGCACGACGATTTTATACAAATATAATATATTTTAAAATTATACATATTGTATGTATTATCTAAAAAAGAATATCTTTGAAGTTGCATAATATGACTTATTATCTAAAATGCACATGTAAACTACTTATTTTTAAATTATATAAAATTTTATATACTTAAAGTGAACTTTTTTTAAACTAAAATTCAAAGAACTGTTAACAAAATATTTGGTATTTATCATTAATTAGTTGTAATAGCTTGCTTAATTATAATTTTGAAATAATTAAATGAATCTATCAATCTCATATTTAAATTTGAATGAAGATTATTAAATAGGCGTGAAATGTCTATTAAAATTGTTTTTTGTTAAAATGTAAAAAAAAATATTTAATAATTTATTAGATATCTTATTTTTCCCTTGGTTGATTTGTTTAAAAACTAATTAGTGCACGTTTTTTTTTCTAATTACTTATGAATTTTAGTAACAGATCAATTACATTAAATTGCAACAATATTTGCGATGGTAGGTGTATGCAGCATATGCAAATTAATGTTGTGATAATTAATTTTGAATATTTTACATAATTATAGTTACTTAGCTAGCTAATTTTTCTTGTAGAATGCAATTATTCACAATGGTCAGAGTGGTCGTTGTGTTCAGCACTGTGTGGTATGAACGCAGTACAACAGCGTACAAGAGTTCCGGAAAATCCTTCGTGGACATGGTGTAAAGATAGAATAGAACACCGTATTTGTTCAGCTTTGGCGTGTAAATCAGATTAAAAATATATTTTATCTAAATCAGTTTGGCCTTTAACTTTATAATATTACGTGTATATATACAAAATTATGTTAATGTCATGTCTAATAATATATATTTAATGGAATAAAACAATTTTTAATTTAATACAATACCTTAATAATAGAATAACTGTCAACTCACGCTAAAGTGTAACCATAATATACCGAATTCAAAACGATAACAATCACCCAATGATTATAATTTATCACAGTGAAATTTCCCTTAACAGATATATATATTTACGGATGTATTTATATGTTTATAAAATATACTTATAACTAAGCGAATTATAATATTAAAACTGGTTCAATAACCTATAACTTAAGCATTATTATTTAATATTATTTATTTACTGTAGAATCACGAGTAAACATTATAAGCATGTATTCAAGATTAATAAAATAAATACATTTATTATATTTCGTCTTTAATTTTTTGTGGACATTTTTACTAGAATATTAAATAAAAAATCTAGTTTTTGGTAAATTTATATCAAAAAATATAACGACAATAACTTTTTGAGTTATCAATTTGAAAATATAGCTTAAATTCTATAGAATGTTTTACAGTCTAAGAAATAATTGTACGTGAGAAAATGGTTTTTTTACATTTACCGTTTAAAATGTTGTTTTTGATGAAATAAGTAACAATATACAACTTTGTAAGAATATGGTAATGGAAAATCACAAAGTTAGTTACAAAATGTAATTTGGTTTCCCTAGCATGATATTAAATAAGTAATAGATAAGGAAATGTATATATATAAAAAAAAAATTTAAAAGTAATGATATATCCAAGGAAACACTAGTATATTATCTTAAATAATCAAATAATCCAATATTCGTGAGAATATAGAACTAAAAAGTATTTAAAACTCCAATAATACTTGATACATATCTTTGTATAGTTATACGTGTTGTAACATAATTAATACGAATTCATAATGTCTCTAACAAGTATTCATTCATTATCAAAAGGCGACAATGAACCTTTAAGTATTATAAATGAAAATATTTCATCAACTGAAAATATGAGAAATAATATAACAGTTGATAATTCAATAGCAAAATCTCAGTCAGTCGAAATGAAATCATCAGAGAAATGCAGTGGTCGAGATATAAACACTAAGTTTGATATTGACATCGGTTATGCTATTAAATTGTTAAAAAAAGAAGATGAAAGTGTAAATGTGTAAGTATAAAGTGTACATTTTTTTTTTAATATGTTTATTGCAAAATTATAGGTAAATAAATAACAAAAAATGTAAAATTAATTTAATGAATCCAAGTATTATCAAACAATTCAAAATTAAAGCATTAACTAAAGTGTTTAGTTTAACTAGGTAATCTATTTATTAACATCTAGGCAGTATCTTAATTATTGGAAAAAAAAAGTAATTTTGAAAATTAAATATTGCAAAACAAAATAGAAATAATAGTAAATCCAAAGAATACTGTTGCGTAATCGTTAATAATTTTCACAAAAAAAAAAAAATTTAAGTCGGGTCAAAATTCTCGACTAAGTTTTTAAATTAGTATTTTTTTTTTTTTTTTATAAATGTTATGGAATTCTTAATTACATTTCATTCTATAGAATTCATATAAATTATTTAAATATATTTACACGTTAATAATTAGCAATAAAAGTTATTTAACAAATAAAATTGTATTCAACAGATAATTTATTGTGTTTGTACAACCATAAGATACGTAATATTTAAATTTAATGTTCAGGTACAACCATTTGCAAGGTATCTTAGATAAAATATCATCAGAAAGGCCAACAAGTCCACTTGAAAACTTTGAAAAATATAGTCAGTTATTAAAGCGCACATATATCCATAAGGAAGTTAACTTTGAACGAGTTTTTATTGATAATATAAACCGGAGTTACTGTCAAAAAAGTCTACAAATGTATAAGGTAAACAACACGTGGAGGCTCATATTATTTATGTCTCTCGCGTATACCTATCATAAGTTTTGGCTTTGATTGATTTTTATTTTCTATTATCATTTCCTCAAATTTTCAGTGCTCGAAATGGACCGGAACGCATCGGAACGGCGTTCCGATTCGTAATATAACCTTTGCGTTCGTTCCGAATGGTTAAAATTAAAATTTAAGAGTTCCGTTTCATAAAAATCGACAGTATCACAATTTAGAGGATTAAAATTATAAAATTTCCTTTCGAAAAAATATAATATTAATATATTATATTATTATATATAATAATATATTATTATATTAATTTACTTAATTAGAGAGAAGTTCAATTTTTATATAACTTCATGAGGCTTCACCTCTGACATCACGCGTATCGTTTCTTCGTATTATCACAATTCGTAATAAAAACGTAAACGATTTAATGATCGAAAAGTACCCACAGGCTACGCTACAATTAAAGCCGTGACCACAAATGAAAGGCAATAAAACGTAAAATACTCAATTTACTATCGATAACGTATTTTATCACAAATTGTAACGAACTCTATCTATCGACTATCTATAATCTGTATGTGTACATTGTGTAGTGTACACCTAATTATATTTTGATTGAGGTTTGACAATACTTGACAAGTCAATGTGTTGGACCGGTTGGTCACTTAGTGTAACCGTATATGTGTGAGGTCCGTTTTACTTTAGTAATACTTACTTTAGTTATACATTAGTAATATAATTATAAGTTATGAGTTCGATTTTATTAAATTGGGTCAACAAACGTCCGAACGATTCCTCAAAAACAGAAAAATCTAATAAAAAGTAGCAATAGAATATCCTCAAACGGTCGTCGAAAATGTTGAAAGTTCTGACTGTGATGTACGTATCTCAACTTGCTGGAATAGAAGTCAGTATGACGGGTTTAAATTATCATATAATTAGTTAATTGTAGAAAATAAAAAGTTAGGTTGTACTGTATGCAAAAAAATAAAGCAATTAGGATTATTTGGTGAAAAAAATTTACGTATTTCAAAACCTTGGCAAGAGTGTTCAATAGAACCAAATGGGCAAACAAAAGATTCCCAAATGTCTAGTTTACAAAAAAAAAAAATACATAAACATAAAAATTCGGAGGGCCATATTAAAGTAACAAATATTTTACAGCAATCTGAAAAAAAAACAGATAAAAAAAGGTGTTGAAGAGTTACAATGGGAAAAATATGTAACGACTGAAAAAATCTTTAGAACGGTTTACAAAATAATTAAAAGTCAAAGACCATTTGTTGATTTACCGGTAGATATTGATTTACAAGTATTAAACGGGATTAGTATGGGGAACATATTGATAACTCAAATAAAACCTGTGCGAAAATTGCGATCCATCTGGCAACGGAAATGAAAATAATTATCTGTAAAGATATAATTTTAGGCAAAAAAAATATCAATTTTGGTAGACGAGTCAACGACCCTTAGTAGAAAAACTACATTAGTGGTCGTATTGTGAACATTTTTTGAAACATTTCCTGATGAACCATATATATTTAATCTCGATTTAATTGAACTATATAGCACTTCTGTCGAACAAATTACTATCGCGTTACTTGAATGTTTGAATATATATGGATTTCATCAACAATTTTTAAAAGAATGTCTTGTTTGTTTTGCGTGTGATGGAGCTTCGGTAATGATTGTAAAAAATTCGGGAGTAGCAACTCGACTTAAAAAAATGTTTCCAAACTTAAGTATTTGGCATTGCTCCAACCACCGTTTACGCTGTGTCCAATGTGAACGTGGCAAAGACGTTGTGATGCGGGCGACGCGGCGAATAAAATTATCAAACATATAAATATAGATTAGATTGTCCAACGTACGCGATAAACGCGGGTGACGCGAACGAATTAATTCGTTCGCGTTCGCCGCTCGGTTTGAAAATCAAATTGTCTTGTTTTTGGTCGCGCGTTTAAGCGAACAGACGTCAAAATATTTCTATTACAATTTACGATTTATTATTATAAATGATTTTTTAAAAATTTTTATACGACTATTTTATGATACGAATAGGTAAACGGGTAATATATATTATTAAATTATAATATATAGTATTTTAACTATAATAGTATTATATATTTATATATTAGATATTGTTGTATGATCAATATAGAGCTCATTATATCTGAGGTACAAAAAATTAATGTGTTCTTTGGAATAAATGTAATACAAAGTATATTAAATATTTCACTTCAGCACTTTTCAATAGGTATAAACAATTGTTTTTCAAGACTAAAAGACATTTTTAGTTGTTTTTGTTTTAAAAGAATAGAACATAAACGTGTAAAATATACTGCGTAACTTTTGCACAACTCACTTTAAAATACGCTGTATGAAAAAAAAAGGAAAAAATATCTGAATATGGTTGTCACAAATTCGCGTTCACCGCGTACACATAGGACACGATTGCGAACGGTGAATGCGGCCAACACGAATTCGTTTGCATCTGCCGCAAATTTGCGTTCATCGCGTTCACATTGGACACAGCGTTAAAGCTTGCCGTTTATGATGTTGTAAATGAAGTTGATGGAATAAATAATTTTAAAATATTTATGGATAAATTGTATTCTTTATATCATCAATCGTCAAAAAATCAAAATGAGTTAATACAAGTAACAAGTTCTTTAGAATAACAAATTTTACAAATAGGAAGAATTTTGTCTGTTCGCTGGGTTGCGTCTAGTAAACGAACTATAAATGCTGTCTTAAATAATTTTTTGGCTCTTTATGAACATTTTAAATCTGCTTCAACAGATGTAACAAGAGATTCAAAAGAAAGAAGCAAGTATAACGGATTAAAATTAATGACCTCCAGTGTCGAATTTGTTAGTAATCTTAATGATATGGCAGACGCTTTAGATGAACTAGGAGACTTATCGGAATATTTGCAAAAGCGTAATATCACTCTTGTAGAAGCCGATAAAGCTATTAGAACGACAATTAGAGTATTTGATTCGATGGTTAGTGAGTCCAAACATAAATTAGCCGGCGCTTTAAAAGCGATTGAATTGAATATTTATAAAAATGTTCCTATTTATAATGGGAAGGTAAAACAAATTAATACAAGCCAACTATACAGAGATGTAGCAAATAATTTAAGAAATCGGATGATAACAACTAATCCATCTCATGTAAGTCAATATGAAAAACATCAACAGGATAACATATATAATTATAGGAATTTAATCGATAGTCTTAGCGTACAAGATCCAAAAAAATGGCGTATTTCCGATAATGATGAAATCGAACATTACATTTGGAGATGATAAAATACGTCACTTGTGTTGCCACATCCAATTAAATAAAGAAAATGATATTGTTCGGAGTTTTCAAATAACAAATTGGAAGGAGGAAAAGAAGGTGTTCCGGACGACTTACAAATACTTTTTAAAACCGTAGCTACTATTCCTATTTCTACAAATGAGTGCGAGCGAAATTTCAGCTCAATGAATGAAATTATAACACCCCTCAGATCTTCATTAAATATTAGTACAGTCTCTGCACTTTTATTTATTAATTGTGTTGGCCCTTCACTCACAGAATTTCGTCCTGAAAAATATGTACGGTCATGGTTAGTCAAAGGTAGACATTCTGCTGATGACAATGCTAGACGTAAACGTAAAAAAAAAATTGACGAAAAATACTCAGCATTATGGAAATTATTATAAACTATGTATTAAATTTAAATTGTAAATTTTTTAAGCTTAAAATTACTTATACTATTAGTATCTATTTAATTAGTTATACTGTATTGTAAAGTAAACACAAGTTAAAATAATAAAAATTAAAAATGAATATTATAATTCGCATATTAATTTTATGAACGTTCCGGTTCGTTAAAGTTTCCATTTCGAGCACTGCTAGTTTTATCATTTTTTGTTTGATCTATGTTATATTGTTGAATGCGAATTCTGATTTTAACTATAAGAATGAATTATAATTGGTTCCGTTTTAAGTAAACAACCTTTTCCGAGGAAATCGTTTACTAATGTTTATAAATTAATGTCACATTAAGAAACTATTACCAAAAGACAACTTATCGTCGCACATAAATTTTATATTTTACTCCATAATTATAATACGATATACTTAAAATATAGCGAAAAAAATAATTTTTGTTAGACTTATAATTATGTTCAATAATGATTTTTATATTTTTGATCATTATCCGTATAATTAAATGGTTCGAAAATATCGATATATTATACTAGTGCAGTTTGCTTGTACACAACATGTCAATATTTAGGACAGCCCATGTTTTATAAATACAAATAAATAGTAAATTCGAAACGAAACGAGGTGAAGCGAAATCAAATTAATTAATATGGTACGTGTGATCGCAGCTTGAGAATTTCGTTTATAGTGTGCTTTGAAGAAACAATCGGAAAAACAAAAACAGTATAATATTAATAAGAATAACAGTAAAAACCCGGAAAATGTGATAGGCAAGAAGAAGAAAATCATCGTGAATAACAGTAACAATATTAATGTGCAAGTGCAGAATCTTTTCGAAGTAAACTTAATGTTCAACAAAGCCGGCTGCGGACTGCCATTGGACGAAGTCGCTTTGATATCGATGTCAATGAACGAAATGGCACTATTAAATAAATTTAAAAAAATCAGGTATAACAATATTTCGGTCGATCGTAGACATAATATAATAATAACGATTATATAAGTAAATATTTACTGACCAACGTCAATCGTTCATGTAGGTTTTGGGGAAAAATATTTGGAATAAAAAAAATATATTTTATAATAGAATGCGAATGGACGGACGCAGAGTTAACTCGAAAAACATTGGTAATTAGCTAAGGTATCGGTTTGACCAATGTACAGTTAACATTATAACCATGCGATTTTTTGTTTATGGCTGTGCGTGTCGGTATTTAGAAGGCAGATCAAGATACGAGGGATACATCGATAGACGTTAGTGTTGTAGCTCAAATGAATATGACTAAAAAGAACGATTCGTCCGAGTCGAAACACGAAATGGAGTCTGTGCGATCCACCGTAAATAAATTCCAGGATTCAATTGATTCCAATGTATCAGTTTTCGACGTTGAAATGACTAACGATGCAATAAAATCTGACGACTCGTGGACATCTTCCAGAAAAAACTACAACTGTGAAACTGAAACATCGGAAGTGTTACCACCAGAAATGATTGGGAAAGGTGCAAACAAACGTGTAAATCAGAAGTTTCAATTGTCATTTAAAGTTTTCGTTATAATAACAGAAAATGTAAATATAATTTTATATGCTGTTTAGGTTTACTTTGTCTCTAATGAATTAAATTCGAAATGGATTGAACTAGATTCGGTGCAACCGTATCAAATTGTCGAAGCGCGAAGGATCAAACGATATTTCACCGGAAAATTGAACCAGCCAGTAGATAAACATATTTTAATCGGCAATCGTTTATACTTAATATTCTAACAAATGTGATGATTATTTGTTTTCACAATTACATTTTTTCAACACAGATAATCAGTTTTCCAAAGTTCAAAGGAATGGAACTCGATTATCTAAGAGCTCAAATTGCACGAATATCGTCAAGTACTCAGATATGCCCACGAGGGTACTATGTCTTTAATAGTGCAACATCAACTTCAGAGAATACGCTAGAGAAAACCCAGTCTGAAGTTTCATCGAACTTCACAGAAACAAGTAAAATATAAAATAATTTAAATTATTAAGAAGCTTATTTATGTCTATAACGGAAATCTATATATTTTATAAACGTGAAATGGTGTTTTATTGGTCATAGGTGAAAATAATAAAACTATACACCGCGAAAAAAATTTTATGTCTAATTTTAATTCTCTAAGTTAATTGACTAATTATTTATCACATGCTCGATGTTGCCAATATTTTACTCCATGTCACTGTGCCTATATAAATACAAAAATAGATGTATTGTGCTTTCTTATTGACAAGTACCTATGTTGAATATTTTTTCTAGCATCAAGTTACAACAAGATAACTCGACCGAAGCCGGGTGAATCAGCTAGTTTATGCATAATTATTATATATTTAACGTTTTCGTTAATTTAATGTAATGTGGAAATAAAATAATAATTACTAGTATTTAATGAATAAATAATAATAATAAAAATAACTAAAAAATCAATAAATTTTAAAAAAGTGGTAATTTATCACAAAAAACAAAATATTATCATTATATATCAAGTTAGAACACAATGATACAGATTTTTATCATGCTATTTTTATTATTGCTATAATTTTAAAAAATTGAATTTCAAATTAGTAATAATAGACAAATACAATTAAAATGTATAAAATAAAATTTGTTCTTAGTAATGTGTTGATGGTATTAAACCATTGTCGAACATCAATTTTGAATATTTTTTGTATATTGATAGATTAAAGATTTTAATTTAAATATAATACTAATTTCGTAGTTCATAAAAATGTACATCACAATGACTTCGGCACATTTATACTTAATGACAACAACTTGACCATCAAGTAAAAGAAGTTTTAAAATCTGAACGGAAAATTAATATTTTTATCTTATTAATAATAATTATTCTTTTATTGATTTATTCACTAAAATAATTTTTAAATTATTGATGTTTAATTTCAGTTAATTTTGATTTAATTCCGAACAAAAATGTCAAACCCATTCCAAACAAGGATATGATTAATTTGAATTATTGGGTGCATAAAAATCCTCAAATAAATGATACCGGAATTACTGCTAATCATCCGGGTGCCCTTTTTTCGTCCAAGTTGATACAAGATTCTAATATTGATGAAATCAGTGTGTATGAAGAACTCGAAGAATATGAAGTTAATAATAAAGAAAGTTCTTTGAATGCCAACGGAGAGTTGTTTGGAAATTTAAGTCAGGATATCACAATTGAAAATGAATCGGCATGGAAAGGTTTTATATGCTCTCCTTTTAATACCCGTTATTCTTATACAGTGATGATGTCTCACATATGGCCAGGAGCATATGCAGTTGTTGATAAATTGTACGTAATTTTTGTAATATACTTAACATACATTTATTTTAATTAAGTTTTAAATGCCAATATACCCCTCAAGCAAATAATGACTAGTGGGTGACTTCTTAATCATGTATATCATGTTTTCTATATTTTATCACATATACTTACTACGCTAAGTAGTATAGTAAGTATAATTATTATAAATAAAAATTTAAAAACAGTATTAGTATTTTTTATTTTTTTATTTATAATAATTATAAATAGATAATAGAATTTATTTTTATTGATTCTATATTACTTGCTAATAATTCTTGGACGATATTATTCTTTACTATCCAAGAACTATTAACTTATTTAAAATGCTGTTCATAACATGATTGCAAAAATTAAGTATCGTGTAGTTTAACTATACCCATACTTAAAATAATTCGGAATTAAATCTGTTAATAACTAATAAATGGATACAATTATTAAATTAACAAATGGTCGTACTGTGTTTATATTTTTTGTATACATATAATCAGTAGCGACTTTAGCTACCGTGAGGCCCTGTGCGACACGTGATTTGCGAGGCCCCTACTACTGTATTAGGGGTATTCATTTTTTTTTAATTAGGTGCGAAATTATTTATTTTTAATACTTTTTGAGCAGACTTTCATTATTACATCTGTTTAACGACTATAAATTGCATATACAACCTATAATGCATTACAGTTTTTTTTTTATTCAAAGAGTGGTTTGTTTTTTCGTGTATATAATTAATTCATTTAAATAAATTACTTGTTGGGATGTTTCAACAATCTATAAATAAAACAAAAAGTTAAAAAGATTAAGAATAAAATATAATATTAGCACAAGATATGAATCTGTATTTACATTTCAGTTATGGTTACATATACTTTCAAGAATAAACTTTTCTACTTTTTTTCTGATTGAAGTCTTCAATCAAATGCTCAAAAGATGTAACAAAAGCGTTATCACCTTATAATACAAATAAAAATTACCATTTTCTTTAAATTCTTATCAATAAAAAATGTTTGGTTTAAGAATTATTTAAAAAATTATGACTAAGTGTTCTCAAGAAGTATAAATTTATTATAAAAATATTTTAAATTCTGAGTGAAGCAAAGAATCTTATGGTTTTACAATGATGTTAATTATTTTTTTTTCTGTATACGATTAACTAAGCGTTATCGGCGTACCTAGTGTTTAATCGTTATCTAGCATGTTCAAGATTACGACCATTTCATGGTAAAATTTAATTTTAAGTATTTGACAATAGTAAACAGTGTTCGGGTTCATACTCATAGGCGGACATTTGGTTGAATTTTTGGGGGGGGCTATAATAATTCAATGTAAAATAACTCGCAGGAACTTCGCCCCCACATCCCCTTCCCATACACAGGTAAAACTTATTACCAGGGCTAGGATTTGTATGCAATAAAAATTGTAAAATATGCATTTCATTTACCAAAATATGCAAAAATATGCATTTAGATTTTTATAAGATAAACACAAAAATATGGTTAAAAAAAAATATTTGTTTGTTGAAATACATCAGTGGTTGGATTTTTTACTTAACCCTACAATGCATGATTTTTTATTTTTTTATTTTTTAATTTTTTTGGGTTGTTATATTAGTTCTAATGAAGGGCAAATTACTTAAAAAAATTTTGGTATTTTAAGTCTAAAAAACCAATTTTTTAGTTTGTAGCCAATGAACAACGCTATGTATTTACGTACAACATAATTATTTATTAAATTTATAAATGTAATTTATTCATATACCTATCTTGAAAAGTTATATCGTTTATTCATTAACTATAAATATAAGAAAATAATTGGTTAACTTACCAATTACAAAACAAAGAATACATTTTTAAAAATGTAACTTAATATAATGTAATTGAAAAATAAAATAAAAAAAAATAATTTAAAATAAATTTTATGTTTGACAAAAAGAACCAAGTTTTATACTATAATCAGCAGGTCTAGAATTAAATACGAAATATTAATATTGAATTATAAATATTAATTACAAAATATGCTAAAAAATATCAATTTTTCGCATTCTTATAATCGAAATATGCAATAATATTCATTTTATTCAATATATGCAATAATATGCATTTTATCTAAAATATGCAAAAACATGCAAAATAAAAATACCACCATGTATCTCATCATGAGGTGATTCGTTGACATTACTGACAAAATCAATAATCAGAAGTCGCAAAAAAAAACATGCTGTTGCATACAAATCCTAGCCCTGCTTATTACTATTAAAAATATAAATATGTTTAAATTGTATTAAAAAAAAAACACTAAATAACGTATGTTTAAAAATAATTTATATTTTATTTTAATGACAAATAACTATTTGTATTGACAAAGATACTTAAAATATCATCGCTTTTTATATTTTTCGATATATCTTTTTCAATATATAGTATTGAAAGATTGCTGAACCTATCTTGAACCAACAATGTCCTTAACCAAGTTTTTATTTTTTTCATTGCACTGAAACTTTTTTCGCAAGTAGCCAATCTATGTAATCGTCATTGTTATTGCTATTATAAATAGTTTTTATTATTTCTTATTTTACGATTTTCAAAAGAAATGAACAGATAATTATAAATAAATTATAAAAACGACGAATAAAAATTCTAACAAAGTTTGGATTTTGAAAGGGCTATTAAAAAAAAAAATTAAATAAATATTATTTTATTATTATAAATATTTTAATATTTGGGGGGTTTAAGCCCCCCAAGTCCCCCTGATATCTACCTATGTTCATACTTAAATATAAATATAATATAAGTATAATATAAATTTTACTCCGGAGCCCCGATTTTTCATAGTAAATCGTGAATTAACTACAAATTTTTGCTCGATTTTTTGTTAACTGTGGAACCCTAGGAAGCGCGCGGCCCTGTGCAACCGCACAGATCGCACAACCCTAGCACCGCCACTGCATATAATTCAATGAAGACGCAATTTGGTGGATGGCACGTTATACTACATTAATTCGGTGTTCTTTATTCCTACACCAATATGTATGACTTTGTAATACCAAATTGAATATATAGATTTATAAAATTTAATATCTATCTAATTGGGTTTAGATTTTGAACAGTGACGAGAGAACTATATTTATCGAACTAAACTTATATACATGTGTATACTAATCTATTTATATATTGATTTTATTAAACTGGGTTTTTACCGAAAAACAAATAATAAAAGTGTTCAAAACTTTATCGAAAATTAATTAAAAATTAAGGACATTTTAGTTATTTTACTATATGGTAATAAACAAACTTTTTTTTAGAAAAACGGATTTTGTGTACATTGGATGGGCTCAAAAACAAGATTGTTCTCAGTATGCTCAGCTTTCTTCAAAATTAATAGATGGATATAAAATGGAAATGTCTACTAAGGAAAGTCAAACAGAGTATGAGGAAGTTCAAAAGATTCAAAATAATCAAATAACTGATTTAGAATTAAAATTACAAATTCCATCAAACGAATACATATTCGAAGAAGTAGAAAATGAACTTAGTATTGATTATGATATCGAATAATAAAAACGTGAATTTTAATTTTACGCAAATAATAAAATATAATTTGTTATTGTTACGCTGAAAAGTTCCAAGTCGTAACTACATCGAATTGTATGAATATAAAAATAATATATTTTTTAAATCAATTATAATAATTTTAAATATATTAGTTATAAATAAGACTAGGATTTTGTAGCATTTGCATTTTCTTTCATAGTACTCCACGACATAGTTAATCAAAACAAAATTCGATTCATTCATCACAGAGTTCAATATGCAATTTTGTTTTTGCTTTTATTGCTTTTTTTATGATATTCGTATTTATATGCTTTTTTTGTATTGTTTTGTCAGTTTATTAGCTTTTTAATTAGTTTTTGTTAATGATACGCATATTTAACACTTTTAGAACATTTATATACATTTTTATCTAAATTATTATTTATTAATTTATTTTAATTGTATTATTATACATATTTCGTGATTTCGTAGTGAAATATTATTGCCTGATCGGAAAATATTCCTGAAAATAGATTCTTCAATTTTGTTAAAGTGATTACCGAGTGGGGAGTAGTGGTTACGTAATACGTTGACTGTCTGGACTTCAGACGCAATAAGAACGATATTTATTGACTTGTCTACTATGTCTAAATTTACAATAATATTATTTAGCATTCACTAATTTTAGGAATTTCCATGGGGGTTTATATTCGAGTGCTAGCGTACAGAGTGTTGTCGCGATTCGCGGAATCACGATATCAGTAATCGTTAATACGTTGTGCCGACAAGTCGTTAATCGTTTTTTCCTGTAATCGCATGTGGTGTTATACCTACCTAGTTTGTGTTTGAATTTATTTAAAATATTTTTAAAACTTAAAATGTCTAGACCTAAACAATCGTTGTCTTGTCGTTTACGTGCATATGTGCGCGTATTCGATGACAACATTTTTACTACTGATGGGACAATACTTTATTGCAAAATCTGTGACATAAAAGTTGCAGGTGAAAAATAATCTCATATTTCTCAGCATGTTGCACGAGATAAACATATGATGGGTATAGAAAAAATAACTCATCAAAAATTATCTACTACTCAGACTTTATTAAATAGCCCATCAACAGCATTAACATTTAATTACAATCTATACAAAGCCCTATTATGTTCAAATATACCACTTTATAAACTACTTCAACCATGATTTCGAAAATTTCTTGAGAAGTATACAAATAAAATTAAACCAGATCAATCAACAATGCATAAGAAATATGTTACAGAATGTTACACAGAAACAATAATATAAGAGTAAATGCTTCTGAAAAGAAAATATGGTTATCGATAAACGAGACGACAGATGTAGCTGGTCCTTATGTGGCTAACTTAATAATAGGCATCTTAGAAATTGATAGCTCAGGAAAAATATTTCTTTTAAATTCGAAAGTGTTAGATAAAGCTAACTATTCGACAATAAGTCGATTATTTGATAAGTAGCTTTTAATTTTATGGCCTGAAGAGATTAGGCATGAGAATATTTTGTTATTTTTATCGGATGCCGCACCATATATGGTAAAAGCTGGTAAAACTATTAAAATATTTAATCCTAAAATGGTACACATTACTTGTGTAGCTCACACATTGCATCGAATATGTAAAGGAATAATATATTAAGATTACAGTTTCTAAAAGTTGACAAGCTGATTTCAAATATGAAAAAAAAATTTTTAAAAGCTCCATCTCGAGTACAAATTTTTCGAAGTATTGTACCAAATATTCTTTTACCTCTAGAGCCTATACTCATAAGATGGGGAACATGGGTCAATGCTGCGATTTATTATTGTGAACATTTTTCTTTAATTAGAATTGTCGTTATTGAATTGGATGAAGATGATAGTATTTCAGTAAAAAAAAGTTCATGATTTGATAGAAGATTTTAATCTGAAATGTAATTTAACATTTATAAAATCAAATTTTAGTGCATTAACGAATGCTATTTTGCGTCTTGAAAAAATCAGTTGTCCTCAGTCCTAGTCAATTAAAATTGTATTGGATGTGTTAAATACAATTGATAACGCGCAAAAAAAAAAATTGGTATGGTCGTACAACTAAAGATCGACACAGTTTTAGAAAAAAAATACTGGATTTAAGTCAATATGTACAGTCCCAAAAATTTTGAACGGCGAAAAAGTTTCAAAATTGGAATTGCCAGAAGACTTAAATCTCGATGATATGACATATTTGAGATTTGCTCCGACAACATCCGTGGACTTAGAGAGATAATTTTCTTCATACAAAATTTTGCTCACTGATAATCGCAGATCATTTATATTTGAAAATTTGAAAGAGTCCGTGACAGTACAATGCAACAATAGAAATGCAATTGAATAGTATCTATTAACATTAAATAATATTTTAAATTCTAAGTTTTTTATAATAATTTTTTTAATTCATTATTGTTTTAGAAACATGGTGTTGAATACAAAATTGTTTTCAAAATACAAAATATCAAAGAAAATTAAAATATCTTATTGTCTTATTGAATATTTATTTAATAAACAGGTACCTAAAATTTAATAAAACAGTTTTTAATTTATTTCTTTTTCAATATTTATAAATTGTGCTTAGTTGTTCTAAGAAATAATTGATGTGAACATATAAAAATGTGTTTAATAAATTATATATTGATATTAAAAATATTTTTCAGTTAAACTTAAAAATGTTCAAGTCATTTTTAGTTGCATTTTTCTGGTTAAAATGCTTTTTTTTGTAGCATTATTAGCAATTTTTTAATTTCTGTATTGTAGGTTTTTAGTGCTTCATTTTCCTAGCCCTAGTTATAAATTATAATAATTCTTGCTATATACTATTCTTGGCCCGTTTTCTTTATAGTCCTCGCTGCTGATCCATACTTGATCAAAAGTAGATAGCGAAGCTAAGATAGATCCACCTACCCACGTAGAATATTTGCGTTCTGGATTTGCAGTAATTACGACTTCAACAGGAGCGTTGGGTAACATATTTTTTAAACGATGTGACAGATGAGGAAATAACGTGTTACCACCCGCCAGAACGATGTTCCCATACAGATTTGGTTGTTCTTCAATACGACAATCACTACACGATTTATATATTAGGTCGTGAATACCTCCGTAATGAGACTCGATGTTGAATAAAGCTGGATTAAACATTATTTCAGGTCCTCGAAATCTAAAATATTTTTTAACAAATATATAATACATATTGGAGAATTAAATTAAGTACACAGCGTATACAATGTTATTAAGATACTTATTAACATCCGATCCGGGTTTGTTCCTAGTCCGTTCCAATAGTTGTATTCACATACAACCGATCCGGTCCAGTTGTTTTAATTTGATTTTATTTAATTATTTTGATTATAAGAATTCTGTACGTACATTTAAATCGTAGGGAACTATTGTATAGTGTTTCAAATTTTAATATTTCAAGTATATAAATAAAAAATATATAATTCAAATTATTGAATTAAATGAAGATGAATTAATTATGACCACCCTGATTCTTGATGAAGAATAAAAAGAGTGAATAAAGAATTGAGAGTGAAAAAAAATATAATGAATGGAATAAAAATAATAGAATACAAATTATGTATGTATTTGTCAGTTGCGTATCGTAAACTAATAATAATAATGTAAAATGATACATCAAAATATTAAAAAAAAAGATAAAGTCAACTGTTCACACATATCCTATCCGGCTCCATTCTGTATTCGAACTCGGACGAGTTCGGACAAAAAATCGATCACTGGAAACACTTTTTTGATCAGAGAGTACTCGGAAGGCTCAGAATGGAAATCAGATCGAATATGTGTATATACGTACATTCAGTACTCGATTGGCAAAATTAAAGAAGGGGGACTTTTTTTATTTACTTTAAAAAAAAGAACGTCCCCAAAACTGAGCGTTATGTTTATAAAGTAATAATAGTAGGGGGACGCTAAAATTTCTGAAAATTAGTTGGGGTACTCCGTCCCCCTGCGTCCGCCCTCAAGTCGAGCTCTGCGTACATTAAAAAACAAGAAGTTCATACTTCTGTGTACACAGATACTCTGACGAAACAAACTCATAACGGACCTGGTCGGATGTGTGTGAAAGGACCTTAAATCCGTACCTATTTCTCAGAAAAATCACTACTTTTATTTGTATTGATTATACTTTTCTAAATTCTTCCCGTAATTGTTATTATCTTTGGTCCATTTTATAAATATTTCAATGTCTAATTATCCTTTTTCATTAAAAGTACGTACTTACTTTTCACTTTTAACTTTAAAAATCATTCCATCAGGCAACGTATAATTTTGTTCCATGTCCTCGGTAAACATAGCTTGATCTTTTTCGACATCTAACGAACAGTAACCAAATTTTTCTTTGATAATTGTAACAACATCTATATCCTTCGAAGTTTTCCAATCGTATCCTCGTTCGTTGATCAATTGCTTCATATATTGAGTCACGTGCCATCCACCGATGGGCATATTTCTAACACCATGTGCCACAGGATACCCGCCTTCGATAGGCACTACGTGCGTGTATTCGTATCCAGAATCTACTACTAAACCAGTGACCTTTCCATGACTGTATAGCGGAAGTACTGATTTTGGTACAGACGTAGTATTGGGTACGTTGAATTTTTCGAACATAATCTAAAGCAAATGAGATATTAGTATTAAGTATTAAGATTAAATTTGGACAGTTGATTGTTGCAAGGAATAGGATGACACGATCAAGGACACATAAAAGGGGGAAAAAGGAAATTTACCCCGGCTGTAAGATTTAAGGGGCACCGGGGTCCGTAACTCTTAACCCTTTTGAGTCATAATTTTTGAGTGGATGTAAAATTATTAAATGTAAAAACATTGATAGCAGAAATGTTTTGTGTGAAAATTAAAAATAGTAGATCTATATAGTTATAATTCTTATTAGTGAAATAGTTACTCATATTGTAATTTATACAGCGTCGTATTTATGGAGCGGTTCGGAGATATAGCAGGCAATAGTATTGTGATATAGGATCTATATTACTTACTATCTACTAAATAATATAAATAATTTTACAATTATACTTTTTTTTATTTGTTACTATATTATAGATATTGGTTTAATCTTAATTTATATGGAGATGGGACATTTGATGGAAGGGTACCAGCAATCAGTCTTTAAAAAAAACAATTTTTATAACTTTATTTAGATAATTTAAACTACTCGTAAGTTATTATTTTAGATTCTATTTTAACTATAAATGTTGTGTACCTGAATTGTGTGTACTGAACTGGGAAAAATGAATTTTGCCAGCGTAGCGAGCGGCTATTTATTGAAGACACTTATTTTCAGTTTTGCACTTTAGGGAAAAGGGATGACAAAATCTAAATAACAACAAATTATATACTTGCTCAAAACACATTGTAGGGAACTCGCCCAAACACATTTTTTTTTTTTATTCGGGAAAAAAGGTAATTCGCTCAGACGCATTACACTCTCCGTCATCTCCCGTGCGCACGTCTATGCATAGAGCTTATATACAAAGTACACATATACTATAGGGACTGGGTTTTTTCCCAAATTCTTGAACATCATTAATTACAATATAGATCAAGAGCAGTGATATCGTGAGCTTAGTCATTTATTGTATTGTTGGACAAAACTCAATTAACTGGTTTACTATTTACTAGAACAGCGGGCCAATTAAAGTATAATTTAACGAGTGGTCGAATTTCATTTAAGGATTTTGAGAGGTTTTTACAGAGTATTATCAATCATAATTATGGAGTTTGTTATAAACAACATTTCGCTTAAGAATCAATTAACTGTTCAAAACAAATTAAGAGTCAATATACGCTTAACATTGTATATGTTGTTTTATGCATAGTATTAACCTCCACAAGTTTTTCACGACATGACATTGAATTCAAAAGTGACTCTGTATGTAAAATGTTGAAATTCTCTGGTGGTGTTACCAACTCCTCGTAAAATATATAACACCATAATTTTTCCATAGCATCCCAGTCGGTAATCAAACCATTATTCATTGGATAAACTATGTCCAAAACGTTTTCGTTTATTTTAGCCAGTCGTCCAGCATAAGTAAGAATCTCTTGATTTGCCGGTACAGTTGTATCAAACGGACCATGCTGAAACTGTTAATATCAATACAATCGTTATGATAAATATTAAATCATATTCAATTATACGCCAAGATTGTAATACTTAATAGTATTATTTCAAATCACAAATTAATATTAAATTTCATAAATGTTTTAAGATATGTCATTGATTAATGTACCTAATTAATGAGACAATTGTGAAGAAAATTATTTCCTACGTTAATTAATAGGACTTCATTAGGACTTCATACGTCAGTACATATTTGTAAAAATACAATGTTTTTCAATTTTTTCAATTATTTTTAATATTTTGCATACATAGTATGTATAAAAATAGATTACTTAATTTTAAAAGTGTAGATTTCGATAATTTGGTTGAATGTGTACGTTCACTTTTCACAATTTTAAACGTATAAATGTGATAAACGTGATAAATGAAATTCCTAACTCCGACTTTTAATAACTCTTAATTTAAATATATTGTGTAATTAAAAAAAAATATATATATTTATATAGTGTTAAGATTTTTAAAATTTTTTGATTTAATTTAACATAATTTTTTATACATAACTCGTATATAAATACTAAATTTTATAAAATATATCTCAGGTTTAGTTAGTCTATAAACAAATTACAGGAATATCGCTTCCTTCACTTCTAGTAGTTCCGACAATATTTGGAGTTATTGCCCGAGGAAAATCTTCTCCGGCATACCCAGCTTTCATCATACAAGAACCATTGTCTATTACAATTGCGGGATGGATAGATGCAAAAGTATCTAGAAATTAAATCGAAATGTAATAGTGTACACTGTACAGTCTACTATTAATATAGTGTTACTAAATAATAAGTAAACAATTGTGCAAATATAATATAATATACAATATTGTATATATTTAATATATACCTGCACATTATTATATATTATAATACATATTATGGTACAAGATAGTGGAGGAAATAACTTAAAACTATAATGAATAAATAATTAATAAATAATCAAATGTCAAAGGCCAAAAGAACAAGTGAGATTTTTATCCTCGATTCCACTGATATTCAAATTACAATTTTAAATGCAGTTGATATATTAAAATCTATAGATTTCAATCGAATTCAAACTGGAAACGTGAAAATTAAAGTGAAACGATTGCTGAACACCAAGCTTAAGTATTAAATTCAATTTTAAGTTATTAAATTTTATCATTATTAATTAATAAATAAATTATTCCTTAAAACAGACTTCAGTTATTATTACTTACCCGAAACATTTAAGTTTTGTTCCATAATTTCAATATGTTTTATTACAGTTAATCAATAATTTTGAGTACTGATTGAAAATTAAGTAAAGTTTGGATGTAAAACTAAGTTTGAAAATAAACAAATATTATATTTATATGGTTTCTTATTAAATGCAGATTAATAATTTCAAAGAACTTAAAAATTCACAGAAATATAAAAAACGTTACCATATTACTTGTTACTTTTATAAGTATATAACAATAACCGGCTTAATGATACTTACTTATAACGATAGAAAATAAAGCAATTGTTTGGGGAAAAAACAGTGAATAATTTTACGACATTACTTATTGTACCTATAAAATCAGATATTCATTTTATTTGTCATTATATGTCAATTACAGTTATAACTATTAAGTATAATTTATACTTTGATGACCTATGATTATTACAAAATTTCATCTATAATATTTGGGCTCTAATTGTGCCTTTGAGTATGACAATTGTATACCATAAACTCAAAAGACTTAATACTTTTAAGGGACATATCATCCAACCCCAAGCAGACTGATTGATGTGTAAAAAGAGCAAAAATATTTGGGAGAATATGAACAACAACAGGAACGATTAATTGTTGGAGCAAAAACAATAAATAGAATAGAGTTCATAAAGTTGACAAAAAAAAAGTTTCGTAATAATTAACATATTACTAACGTATGACTCGGAAAAATATCTTATTGTAATGATATTTGTGCATTATATACTAAATTGATTTGATCGATGTGATTCATATGATCATGGATGTAATATACACCTCACCCAGCATTTTAACCAAATATAGTAAATGATCACGTTCTTAAAATATGTTTGGTTTCAAAAATAATAATAGGCCGAAATAATAAATGCAAAACAACATAATCTATGTATGTATAAACAAAATTAATATTATTTAAATGTATTGAAGAATTCGAATGTAGCGATAAACATTTTTTTTAGTAGGTAGTTATCGAATACCACTGCAATATTATATTTTTGGGGACCCATTGTAATTTTTCTACCGGAGGCCCAATTATGAGCCAGACCGACACTCATTGAAACCATCATAACAAAAAAAATTTTTAGATTAAAATCATTGCCCCGTTTGACTCTAGCAAAACTCACCAAAGAGTCCTATCACTGGATAGCTTCCCTTATCATTGCCTCAAAGATTCGTTTGTATAATTATTTATTGTATTTTTTTTTAAATGCAGATTGTAAATGTATCTATCTTTAATAAATAAAAAAGAAAAAAAAGAAATATTAAGCCCATTTGTTTTTCAATCAACGCAACTTGACACTTTATGAGACTAGATAGTTAAGGGGTATGAGGGTTCAAACGTTGGTACGGCTCACGTGAGAATCTATTCACCAAACAGCGAAGTACGGTGTAACAAAAATATTGCAGTCGTACAAATGAAAACGGTTAGTTTATCGTAATATCATATAGGTAGTAAGTGACGAGTACATATAAGATGTGTAAAGGTAGGTACGTTAAGACGTTGATTAAATATAATTAATATATAACTTTTATAACCACCCTTCCTCCCGAAATTAATTCCTATGTACGTCACCGGAGGAGGATCCGGTATCCTAATGACAATAACAATAATGACATTTATCGTATAGAACTGCGAGAACATATTATTTTTCCAGCGAAAGGAGGGGGTGTGGGATAGGACAAGGATACCGTCTTGCCGGTCCGAAGGGCGCCCGCGACCGCGAGCCAATAACAACCGAACTTGGTACAAGAAAATTGTCGCGCAGCGTGTGCGCGGTTGACGGTTAAGGAACGGTGTCCAATGCGCGACCGGCCGCCGCAGCAGGTCGTGCTCTACCGTTTATTTGCGTTTGCCATTGACTGGTGTCCTATCCGCGACTGCAATGCACGACTGATAATTTGTCGTCGCGACGCGCAACAATACCGCGACAAGAGCAGTGTAGCACAACCGGTCGCTCGCATCAATATTTCGGCAATAGTTTTTCACCACAAGAAGATGGAACTTTTTATCGAATCCGTACGTAAATATCCGGAGTTATATGACATTTCACACGTGCAGTATAAAAATGTATTAATCAAAGATGCAAAATGGAAAGAAATTTTTGATTTAAAAATAAGGAATCAATTGGTTTCTTTTTTTCAAGCATAAAATACGAAAATAATAATTCATTCTCTTCCAATTCATTTTCTAGTAAGTTTAAAATTAGTTTATTATTATTTTAAACGCACAGCAACTCATTATCAGACATATTGATATTTTTGTACGTCACTCTTCAATAGACTTCGGCGTACTACTGACGACATTTAGTGGCGGTCTGCGTTTGGACGAATTGCCTTTTTACCCGCTTAATAAAACTAATGCGTTTGGGCGAGTTTCTTATAATGTGTTTGAGCGAGACAATATAAAAGATAAAATTATAAAGATTATTAAGATAAAAATATTATTATATAGGGAATTTTATATCAACCTAATTATGATACAGTCTTATTGCAGGGGTCGGCAACTAGTATAGGTAACTCTATCATATTTTCAAATATCAGTTTGCTTGAACATTGAAAGCGTGAAGTTGTATTGTAGTGTTAGTGAGTTTGTTAAGTTAGTTAATATTATGGGTCTTAAAATTGATTATATTTTGAATACAAAAAGAAATAAACGATGCATTTCAATTGAAAATTATATTGTTTGTGAATCTAACCACTTGAAAAACGGGTCTTTTCGTTTTTGGTGTATTAACAGAAAATGTACTGAGAGTGTTTTAGTGAATTTTAACATTGATAAAATACTATCATTTTCAAATAATAATATACATAATCAAGAACCAACTACTGATCATAATTTAGCTGTTCAGTGTGTTAGAATTGCTATCAAAAGGAAAGTCGAAGAAGACTTACATGCAAGACCAAATAAGATTATACGTAAGGAAATGTAAGACACTAATCTCGTTTTTAAGGAGGTAATAGTTTATAATGTCATATAATTATTGAGAGAATCGGCTTATAGGATTCGTAAAAAACATTTTCTTAAAATTCCAACAACTACTAATGAATCATTTAATCAACTGTTTGAAACTCAAATCGATATTAAAACTAATAATGAACAATTTTGTTTCGTCAATCGAGAAAAACAAATTATTTTGTTTCATGTTCTGAAAACTTAAAACTTCTTTGTGAATCTGAAAACGTTTTTGGATATGGGACATTTAGTTATATCCGTAATGTTATTAGTTAGTTATGTTTCTAATTAATTTTATCAATTATATACAATACATATCTTCAAACATAATTATTACATACCCGTATTATATGCATTTTTGACACCAAAATCTGAAGATCAATATACTTCTATGTGGTTAGAAATAAAAAAATTGTGTCTTGATTTAACAGGTAAAATTATAAATGTATAAAAATGAGAGGGAAAATGGATGAATAAGTACAGTAGCACCTATTAAGACGCTCTTGCTTAAGACGATTTCCCGGCTAATACGCTCATTTTTACGAATCCCTTGATTTTGACATCATTTTGTTCCCGCGTAATAAGATTTCCCGCTTAAGACGCTATTTTTAATTTGTCCTTTGGAGAGCGTCTCAAACGGGTTCTACTGTATTTAAGCATTCCACAATATTAAAAAAAGTCACAAAAACACATTAAAATGTTTAAAAATCACTCACTCAAACGCATTATGACAAATTGCTCAAACACATTGCAATTTTTAAAAATTCGGCCAAATACATTACGCCCGAAATTTAGAACCTAGTACTTACGGTCGATCCCGCATTGAACACCAGTCGGTTATTAGCGATCGAAAAATATAACTGGTCGCCGCGACCGATCGCGGCAACAGGTTACGCATTGGACACCGTACCTTTACGTCAACGGTACATACATCTCGGTTTTGCCGGGACACTACCGGTCTTAACCAAGTGTCCCGGTGTCCCGAGAAAGTTTTTTGGGATAACGATTTGTCCCGGTTTCAAAATTTTACTCAATAAAATATAAAGAAAATTGAAAACAAAAGAAAGGATCGGTTTCTTGCGGTAGAAATTGAAAATCTCGTAACAAAACTTAAGGACATGGAATTATCAATAGAACTATTTTTGAAAGTAAATGCGATGAATTGAATGTACTTTGTTACAACTATTTAAAAAAATAGAACAATTCAAATCAACATGTAACTAATTTAAAATAAATGTTATGGATAACATTAACTCCAAAGACAATAGTAAATTGGGAAAATGTAAAAAAATCAGTAATCTTTATTAAAACTATAATGTCAAATAATATTAATTTTGATGAAGAAATGTTTTCCGAACAATTCAAAATGTTTGAAAAAATTCATCAACAAAATAACGAGTGGCAAATAGAAAATAAATGGATATATATTTTCAAAATATTCACTGATAACAATCATGCATTTTCTGAGCTATTAAAAGTTGTTGAATTTAGTTTTGTTTCGCCGGGTTAAAGTGCAGCTGTGGAACGTGTTTTTCACTGATGAACAGCACACAGACAAATTCAAGAAAATAACTTGATATAAAAAAGGTAGAAGCTTCTTTTATTATAAAAACGTGCTTCAATAATATAATCTTGTGAACAATTCTACGAGTAAATTTTAAGAAACAAGTCTTTATTAAAACAAGTTCATGGATCAGTCAAATATGTAGTAAAATCAACAGAAGAAACAACTCTGGACTCCGAAAGTTCCGAAAACTAAGAATATTAATTATTATTATTATTATTATTATATTGCTTCTATACATAATTCATTAAAAAATATATATAATAATTTATCCATTCAAAATGTCCCGGGTTCGGAAAAATATAATCTGTTAACCCTAGGTTGACCCGTTATGGGTTGGCGCAAGTGGCAGAAGAGGAAGAGAGAGAAAAAAATGTCAAACAAATATTCGACTATTATTAGACGTACGAAACGCGATATGGTAATATTCGGCGGGGACGAGCGGCGTGAAGAAGAAAAGAAAAATTATAAAACTTATCGGGCGCCGTGTGTCGCCGACGGAACGACGGCGGGCGGAGGACCACGACCGTTGTCGGTAGTTATCGGTTGCTGACCGTGTTCTCGATGCGGCGCAATAATAATAATAATAATAATAGAAATACGTCGCTGTTATCAACGTAAGCGGTGTTATCAGTGGCGGCGTAAAAGTGTCAAGGGCCGCCGCCGTAGCACCGCTTGCCGTCGCTGACCTGCTTCTCGCGTCCCAAATGTAATCCGCCCAGCCCGTCCTCGCCCCGTCGACCTTCGGTTCTATGCGTTATCGCCGTAGATCTATTGCCGGAAAGGTCTACGGGTCACCTGCAGGACCCGTCGCTGTTTCCTGTTCCACGGTCCACAGCAGCCTTAATCCTAGTCCAGATTCGACTGAACACAACGCGCGCGCCTGAAGCCGTTACCCGTCACTGTAACCCATCGTTCATGGGGAACCTGTTCGCAAAGGTGAGTGGAAAAGGTCTTCAGATTGTTTCGCCCTTTGATCCGTTTCAATACTTCCCCTGGACATTCAATATTTGTTCAAATTGTATTTGTTATTTACCTACTCATTTGTTGTTCATTATCGTTTGTTATTGTCTAATCCATATTTTTCGTACCGTTTCCAGCCTTACCATGACTTCAATATTAGTAGAGAGTTGTCACTGCAAGATTTTAAATTGCTGGAACATAAGGAAGTGAGTAATTATTTAATCCTTTACCATAGCACAGTAAATAATAATTATATAAATACATGAATACAGACAACACTTGCTACCTTGCGTATGATCTATGCCCTCATTGTTTCGTACAAGTATCAATTCAGTTAAATTAATCAGAAATGTAAAAAAAAATTTCCATTATGTCTATTGTTTTTTTTTTAATCTTATTTCAATTTGGTGCAATTTTTTTCTTTTTTTAAATTTCTATTTTACTTTACAGGCAAGGGTTGATCAAGTGCAAGTACAAGGGTATTCAAAAACAAAAGACTTTATTATTCAATCTTCAATCAACCTAATGTTTTCATCAAATTCGTTTAATAATGTAAGTTTTAAATGTGTATTTAAAATGTATTATAATTAATAAAATTTAATTATTGTGATTGTTAATATTGTAATATAGTTATTATCAGTTTTTGATATTTGAATAAAACATTTTTTTTTTCCAATAGATTATAAAAAATGCCGAAATTGTTCGTAAAAACTTAATGAGCTTAAACTGTTTTGAAAATATTAGTATTAATATAGATGTAAGTAGTGGATCAAATTCAACTCCTAATGGATATAAGGTACTATAAATATAAAATAAAACCTAACTTTCTTTATTTATTAGAATTTTATTAATCATAGGTTATTTTTAATACTCAAGAATTAAAATGTGCTTCAACTATACTTCATTCTATAGCAAGAGATAATGAAGGTTTTGTAAAACTGGGTTTTAAACTTAACAATTTAACCGGTCATGCAAATCATTTTAAAATTGAATCATCACTCGGTAACAGTGGTACTCAAAAATTTGATGCTTGTATTTCTAGGCATATTCCAGGAAGCATATCTTCATGGTTTGTTTGACTTCAATTAATGGATTTGTATAAATTAAATTCTATTTTTCGTTTAACTCCTGTTTTTTTCCTTTTTAGCGCTTCCGGACATATATTTAGAAAAAAATCATATTGGAATGCGGTGCATGGTGTTTTCAATGAATGGGGAACTCTGTTCGATTTACAATTCCTTGCTTCTTATAAAGTACAGTAAATAATCAATTTCAAAGTTGTTTGTTTCAATATTCTATATTATTATATTATTCTACTAATTTTGATAACAGTTTATTTTTTACATAAGCTTTAAATAATTTTTTTTATCTTATAATCAAGTTTTAATAATTAAATAAATATGATTGTAGTTTTAGTAAAGAGAATTGTTTTTTTTCCAAAAAAGCATTAACAATTTTCATAATATTCTGTGATGAAATTTTTTTTCCATATTTTTTTAATATATATTAAGAGTTAAAAAAATGGTTTATAGAAAAATATTTTACTTTTTTAGAGTCATTTCAGTCAAAATCTACAGTTTGAAGGTGTGATACGTGATATTAACATGTTATCTAAAAATAGTCCATTTAGACTACGAGAAGAATCTGGTGTCTCAGTCAAATCTTCTATTAAACATATAACTACAATTGACACAAGAGATTCCAAGGTTCTTGCGAATGAAGGTGCGTTCCTCCAAATGGTCATGGAAGTTGCAGGTTTTGGTGGCGATGTTAAATTTTTGAGAAATTATTTCACTAGTCAATTTTATTCAAAAATTAGTAAAGATGTTGTATGTATAGTTTTTGGTTTTACGGTTAATTCATTAATAATAAATTAAAAATATCTATTTTTTTTTGTTTTATTAAATATAGGTTTTTTCAAGGATCAATAGGTGGAGGTTTCATTACCGATTTAGGAACATTTAAAAAAGTAAATATGATGGATAGATTTTTCCTTGGTGGACCTATGACGTTACGTGGTTTTGAGTCTCGTGGGATTGGTAATCTTAATAATAATATGGCTGGTGTAACGGTAATTAAAAATTTAAATTTAAATAAACAACTATCATAATTAATTATATGTTGTTCAATTTTAGAGTTATTGGGTGTCTGCTATCCATATATATGTAAAACCTCTTTTCGGCATGGAAAGTAACCGTATTAATGAAGCATTCAGGCTACACTTATTCTGCAATGCTGGAAACATATCATTTTTTGGTAAAAGTTATAAATGTTTCTTAATACTATTCATTATTATTTATATAACTTGATTTTTTCTTTTTAGATGAAGATATTAAGACTAATTTCAGAAAAATATTTAAAGACTACAGACTATCTGCCGGCGTTGGATTAGTTGCTCGTGTTGGTAATTCCATAAGATTTGAGTTTAACTTATGTACACCATTTCAATACACAACTGGTGATAGAATAGTCGATGGCTTCCAATTTGGAGTTGGAGCAAACTTTATTTAAAACATTCAAAGAGAATCTCTATTTATGTTAGTTACCTTATAATTTTATTGTTATTATTATTGTTTAACCTGAAAGAAGTATGAAAAGTTAATTTAGATTTAATTTATGAAAATGTTTATTAAATTTAATTAATCAGAAATATCAGTATTAAATTAATTGTACTTAATTTATTGGTCGCTTAGTACTTTATTTTGATGAATGTATTATTTATATCTAAAAAAGAAATTTATACTTGAGATTTCTAGTGACCGATTAAAAAAAAATTACTTTTTAATACTTAGTATTTTATTTCATATTTTATAATGTTTGTATTCTAACATTGTTAAAAAACAGAATGTTCTTAAAGTGCTTAAACCTACTCTGAGGATCTGGGAGCTCGGTGATTGTTGTTGGTGGTCCATAGACAACACCTGAACCCATCATTGCTTCAATGAAATTTCTTCTCGATATTTCTACTGTACACAATTAGCTTTCAGAACTAAAATATGGCTTATAGTTGTAGTTGAGCATTTGTGCTCAATATTGTAGTAAATATATGTAAATATTAGAATATATTATTATTGATATATAATAAGCCACAATATTTTCCTATTTAACAGGTATAAAATTAATTTCAAATTAATTTTAAAATGGGTCTATATATATATATATATATATATATATATATATATATAACATAGATGCTAAATCCATATTTTGGATATTGGCGTTGATGGTAACAAAATCAACTCAAACCTTTCATCATAAATGTAATACATATAAACATGGCTATGCCTAACAATATTTACATTGTATGTTTGTATATTATATTATAGTACTTCTAAAGTATACTTTTGCAATACCATAATATTATATAATCTCGAATGGGACAAAAAATGAATTCTAAGTGTATTAGGTCATTAAGGTTTACATTTATCCTAATGATGTTATTTAAAATGCCTATACGATTCTTTTTCAGGCGCTTCTTTTTATTTGCTTATAATATTAAAAACGTTGAGATCAAATTGCCTATATAACATTGAAGAGCTTTTTTCAGGCGATTTTCTTATTTGCTTAACATATTAATAAATGTTGAGATAAAATTGCCTATATAACATATAAGAGCTTTTTTTCAGGCGCTTCTTTATTTTCTTAAAATATTAATAAATGTTTAGATAAAATTGCCTACATATTAATTTTAAAGACCAGCTTTAAAAGCTATCATACAAAAAATTATAGTTTGATCGCCAAAAAAAGTTCATACTCCTTCTCTGTTTATTTCACGTCTCAAGTAATCTAGTTCACATCATATGATTAATATACACACCATTACACTATTTCACACATTGTTGGTATGATATTATAATTTTGACTATACTGAATAGTATGTATTTAAATATAAATAAATTTCTTATAGTTCGAAGTCATATTGCATCGATGTATGCTTGATTACATAGTTCTTTGCAACCCCGTGTACTAATGTAGCTTCTTGATTATATTAATTATTGAAAACGTCGTAGTTATTACAATTATATGACTTTCAAGAAAGTAATAATCGTATAATACTATACACATATATAATATATATATTATATATAATGAGGTTAGGTTGTTAAGCTATACGGACGTATTGGAAATCACTTGAAACGCCTGTGTTCTGCATTGTATAAATCGCTGTGAACTTCTAGCTGATTACACATCAGACGATTCGAACGCACGCGTTCGCGTTTTAAAATGTTACGAAGAATCGTTTAAAATTAAGTTGATTACACACGAGACTAGCATTTCCCAACTTATGGGTCGCAAAATATTTTTGATTGTGCTGTTCCTAAACTAATGACAAGAAAAATACTTTAACTATCAAAGTATAATAATATGTATCAAAATTCAGTTTTTGCATCATTACGTTAAAGTATATGACAAAATTGTTTTAATAAAATGATTAGTAATTTAATATTATTAAAGCATATGTTACTAGGTTTTTTTTTATGGTAGTCTACCTAACACAAAGAACATTAATGGGCCACCTTAGCTTAAAGATTGGAAAATATTACATTAGACGATTCTGATGCGTGCATCAGCGATTCAAAATCGCGTTCCGCTTTCATATTGGACGATTTGTTTGCGTTTTTCAAAAATACAAAAATAAAAAGCATGCCAAATGTTCAATTTTGTGTAATAAGTTGCATAATAGATTAGTACTGTTGTTCATTTCCTATTGAACATTGAAATGCGTTTTGTTTCGTTTCATATTTTTTCTTTCTCAATATGGAAGTGTTATACGATAACATTTGTTGTTACTGTTGCATTGCACGAGGAACATAAAATATACAAGAAACAGCTACAACACAAAATTAAAAGAAAATACTGGGTTCATCCTTTAAATTTAAGACCAGATAGTGGTCATTTCCATATGACATTTATGATTCTTCATAGTTACCCAAAATAATTCATGAATTATTAAACACTTTAATTAAAATATTAATAAGTGCAACGATTTTAGATATCTTTAGCTAGAAAATTTCGTCTTACGTTATCTACAGCAAAAGATGAATTATGAATGAAATTAAATAAACGCGAGGCAATCACGTTTTAACGGTGTGTGTTGAAACGACGGAAATACATTGGAATCATATAAGAAAAATAATGTTTAATTATAGTTGAAAATAGCGACCAAACGCTCAAAATTAAACATAAGCGATTCGGTGCGTTTAAACGCGATCAGACGTTGCCGAGCGCGTATCTCATTATCTTGTGTAAATATAACAACCCTTAAGTATCCATATAAAACTGCATGTTTAATTTTGAGCAATCAATTGCAACGTCTTTAAAACACAAACGCGTACGTTTCAATTGTCTAGTGTGTACTACTCTAATGTATACACTTTAATGTTGTAGGTATATTTGTTTCAATGATGGCGTGAAAAGTAATTGCCAACGACGATCGACTAATGAGGAATATTAATCAAAGTAATTAGCAAATTACTTTTTGATGTCATCCGGTCGAGTGTAATAAAAAATTATTATTACAAACAATTTTATTGTCCAAAAATTGACCTATTTACCAATACTAAAAAAAAAATATAATATCCTGCGTGGCCGTGTTACAATACAATAATGTATTTGACAAATTACGAGGGATTCAAAAGACTAATCGTCTAATCGATGATACTGATACCATTAACGTAAATATATTCGTGGGAAAGGAATAGTTCGGCGACGAACATCTGCGGTCAAAATATCTCCGACAAAATATCTTGAATACAAAGTATTTCTAGTCAAAAATATCTCCAGTACAAAATATCTTCAGTAAAGAATATCTCTGGTGCAAAATGTCTCCGTTGAAAAATATCTCTAATAGAAACACCTTCCATGAAAATATTTAATAATATTTAAAAATATGTTATTATTACAAGTACAGAATAAATTATTACCTCCGGTTGTTACGATTTGGTCGCCCAATCCACGTATCTTCAAAATAATTGATTATTGAAGATAAAAATGTTTCAAAAAATAAATTGTATCAGTAAGTTCTTCGAAGATCCGAATAACATAAATTGTTGAAATAAATTCTAACGAACTCAACAATCGTATTTAGAAAACTCAACGTCATCACCATACATTTAATCTTAACAACAACTTTGATTTTCCACCATAAACATTGTTGAAAATGATAAAAACAGCCTTTAATTTCTGTTATAGGAAATGCATCTACACTGACACACTGTCATATCAATAAAGTCGAGAAAAATATATCTGATAATACAAATTGGTTAATGTAATATCGTGATTAATTATTATTGCCTGTGGGATTATTTTCTAAATTTTAATACTATAAATATATAATAATATAATAATAATATATAATATATAATATAATAATAATAATAATAATAATATGTAATATATAATAATATATTTTACCTATTTTTAATAATTATTGTTATAAAAACATAAATATTAATACAAAATATAAAAAATATTTTCACAGGAGATATAACTATTAGAGATATTTTTAAACGGAAATGTTTTTTACAATAAATTTTTTTTTACAAGAGATATTTTAAATCAAAGATATTTTTGACTAGAGATATTTTGATCGGCGATATTTTTGCAAAGATTTTTTGGTCTGGAACCATTAATTGATTATATTTATGTCAAATAAATTTTAAACTATCTAATATTATTGATTACTACAATCTAATGTTTCAACTTTTAATTTTCAAATTTTTTATTTTAACATTTTGTACAAAATATGTAGATATAGATAAACGGCTTAAAATAGTGTACTTAAGAGGAATTGTATAAAATATTGCTTTAATATACTGCAAATAAACAATAAATATAATGTATTTACCTTATATTTTATTATTATGTATGTACTTACCTTCATTAATTTTTTAATTTTGTAATTTAATTTCTGTATATTTCTTTTTTTAATTATTTTTCACATTTTATATTTTTAATTTTAATCATTCATTTTTTTATTATGATACAATTAAATTTTAAATGTTCATAACACATAATTATTATTAATATCGCCGAAATTTCCTAAAGCCTATATTTATTTATTGGTATGTATTCGAACTTTGAGTACGCTACAGAATTTAAAATAAATCACTTTATTAATTTATCCACAATATTATTTTGAATTTATAGAACGTCATTTAACTCAACCGAACTATAATTATTTTAAAATAAATGTACTTGTTATTCCTTCGTACATTTTTATAATATTTTAAATTAGTTGATCTAGTTTGACTTTTTCTTAAAATGTAGTTAATCATTTAACAGCTTATGTGCAACTTTCAATATAAATGATAAAATATGTGCAGTTTATAAACTAGTCAACAAGGTGACAGAAATGTCATCTAGTGAAAATATTTAGTAGCCTAGTCTACAATATTTATTTGATTATAAATTATATCTTCCTTGAAATAAGAAACTACTTTTTATTTATTAAATCTTATTATTAAAATACTATATACTATAATACATCGCAACAGTAAGATTTATTTTTAATAATTATACAAAGTAAAGATAAAATACTTCTATCAAACTACTGATTACTTATTATATGATTGTTTCACTATACAAAAAAATATGTTTATGGTTCACAACTGATTTGGTAAGGGTTACATGATATTTTATTATTATATTCGAGACCATATGTGTACAATTGGT